GCCTTTCATTTCCAAAGCGGTGTTCAAGTTCTGAAGCAAAATTAATTGACAATTTTGTTCAAATCCCAAGCTGTTTGAATTCTGAAGCGTTCAAATTCTGAAGTACCACTGTAGTAGTGTTGATGCTACATGACAATTTGCTGTTTGCTGACAATGTCTTCATGTTCCCCTCCCATGCCACTGCTTGCATGTCACAAAACTGTCTGCATTTTATCAGTCACTACAATACTTGTCATCAATGCAGTTTCATTATTATTTGGTTGTGGTATTCAGACAAGCATATAGTATTCATTATATATACCATAGGAAATCACTCTTGATTATAGATGAATGATTACACCAACTGTAAAGCACAATTAGAAAAGAAAAATACAGAGAGAGAGAGAGAGAGAGAGAGAGAGAGAGAGAGAGAGAGAGAGAGAGAGAGAGACACCAGCTGGGGAGGACAGGTACAAGAGATCCTAATGATAGAAAGGGTTAACCTGAGTTCTTGGAATGCAAATGCTTTAATGAAACCTTCCATTGGAAATGAAGACAGAGAAGAATTAATATTGAACACAAGCTCATCTTGATTTTGCCTGGACTAAACAAATTGTATCAGATCAGGAGGTGAAGAAAAAGATGCTGTAGTTGAATAGAACCCACTTGGGGTAAACGAGATAATAATAATTATTTAAAGAGTGTCCTAACACAAGGTGAAGAGAAAACATTCAAGGGAGGCCTTAATTACATAGAGAGAGAGGATTAGAGAAATAATTAATAATATGGAAGACAAAACATAATTTGAAACCAAGGAAGGAGCTAAAAACAATATATACAAACGTGAGGTGTGGGGGGGGGGGGGGGAGAGAGAATGGCATAAACTGATCCTGGGCCTGTTAGCTTCAGTGTGTTGTACAGCTTGAAGCACTGGGCACTGCCGACTCAACAAACACTCATTTGAATTAGGTATGGGCCAAACAGCTTTCTGCTTGTGTCATCATGCTAAACAAACTCCATAACAGGTCTGGTAAGACTGCTCTCTCCTGTGCACGATCAGAAATTGCTGCAAAGCAATCAGATCAATCAGTTGCTTGTTTTCCCTTGTACAGTTCTAGAGACAGGAGACCAGCATCAGATGTGTTGAACTGCAGGTGTTTATTCTCAGGCATTTGGTGTCCAAGTTGCATTTTCCAAAAACGGCCAGTCGTGTTCTATGATGTTGAATGTTTTTGATGATGGCTGCTGAAGAGTTAACCGTATGCAAGTTTTTTTTGGGGGGGAAATGGGTGCAAATAAACAATCATTTAAAAATAGTATTTCTTTATTGGGTCTTGTTTGTTTTACATGAACTGTTTATGCAGATTCTTAGTTCATTTTTGGCTATCCTCCGAATAATGGTCCTAAATTATTGAGACGGAAAATATACCCTAACGGGGCCTCAGTCATGTGTCAGTTGCACACTTCCGGGGACTAACGCCACCGCGGAATTGTTAACTTCCGGCACCGCCGAGAGGATTCCCCCCACACCGCTCATGCAGGGTGGATTGGGGCTAAACTAGATGGCTAGGACTCACGAGCAAATAAAATCAAGGAAGCTGCAGGAGATGCGGTAGCTGCTGCTCGCGAGTCCCAGCCATCTAGTTTAGCCGCAATCCATGCCGCCTAAGCGGTGTGGGGATACTCTCGGTGGTGGCAAAAGTCGCCGGAAGCAAGCAATTTAAGATGACGGAAGTGCGCAACTGACATGTGACTGAGGCCCTGTTAGGGTATATTTTTCGCCTCAATAATTTAGGACCGTTATTCGGAGGATAGCCTCATTTTTTTTTTTACTACAAGAACAACAGCCTGATCATGCCAGACTGTCTCAAACTGATCGATACAACATATGATCATGATCTGTGAAGGCAGAAGACGAAACAAACAAAATACAAATGACCCGAGTATATTTTTCATCTAGAAGCATTCACAAAATCAGAAAGCCAGTTATGCTTAGTTTATTTCCATTCATGCAAGGGGGGGAAAAAAACAGATCAATTGTACACATTTACATTTGTGGCTAATCAGAATTAAAAGCAGCTTGTCAATAATTTTGAATGATTCAAACTTTGATACAAGCTCCTGAACAAGTGATAAATAACTACAACACCACAGCACAACAAAAATAGTTTTCTTTTGAAAAATTTTTGTTCAGTTGTTGGGTCGGTCCTTTCAAATTCTATTTACTACTAGAGCCATCCATAAATTGGATGTCAAATCAAGGGCAATCATCTGAAAATTTGTAGAAAAGTATCAAAACTGAAGAATCAATCTCAACATTAGAAGAGCATTCTGAAATGCTTTCGAAAAAGTAAAACACAACCCTGAATGGGTCACAGATCACATCTGTGTCTATAAATCTGCACACGAGCTGAACAGATTTAACAGAACCACAGATTTCACAGTACCACAGACAAGGACAATAAAGACAAGATGTGGAGAAATGAAATCTTCAAGCAATGAAATAAATAAATATCCAGATTACTGTGTGTAACTTTTAACAAATTATCTACGTATCCTCAGTGCTCAAATGACATACAAAAGATAAACAACAATCCACTATCAGTTTGTCTTGCTGAAAATAACAGAATCACTAGATTCAACTTTGAATACGCTGGATTTCACATTTTTAATGTGACCATAGTTTGTATGCACTGGTGAAAACTGTTTGTTGAAAATAACAGAATCACTAGATTCAACTTTGAATACGCTGGATTTCACATTTTTAATGTGACCATAGTTTGTATGCACTGGTGAAAACTGTTTGTACTCCTGAAAGCAACCCCCCCCCCCCCCCCCCCCCCCCCCCCCCCCCCAGGTAATAAGAATGTACTTATAAAGTATAGCCAGGGGAAGAAAAAGGGGGGGGGGGGGGGGGGGTACTAGAACAGTAATAAATGTAAAAATCATTTCTGCTGCTAGCCAATTCTTAACTCCTAACAGTTTCTATCTGACCTTAGTGAGTTACATTACCATATAAAAGATCAGCCAAGAATCGCATCATAGCGAACTGTCAATGAAATCAAACACTGCTAATTCACACACTACTTCAATGCTTCATTTTTAATTAACACAAAGAAAAGGTCAAACAATGGAAACCCCAAGAGACATAAATAATTCCAACACTGTAACATACATCAGTACAGGGTTGTATTTTTTTTTAAAAACAAAAACGTAATTAAAATACCACACAAAAAAAGCAAAATCTGTGCAAACAAGTGAAAGACTTTTGGAAAGGCAAACGGTGTCCAGGACAAATTCAAGAGATGGGAGATGGAATCCAAGGGTCTATGACCAGGTGTTTTTCTATAGTTGCCCACCAATTCAAGTTCTCATTCTTTTACCTGTCTGACACTGGACAAGAGAGACCTGTCAAACAAGACACTGGACAAGAGAGACCTGTCAAACAAGACACTGGACAAGAGAGACCTGTCAAACAAGACACTGGACAAGAGAGACCTGTCAAACAAGACACTGGACAAGAGAGACCTGTCAAACAAGAGAGACCTGTCAAACAAGACACTGGACAAGAGAGACCTGTCAAACAAGACACTAGACAAGAGAGACCTGTCAAACTAGACAGACCTGTCAAACAAGACACTGGACAAGAGAGACCTGTCAAACAAGACACTGGACAAGACAGACCTGTCAAACAAGACAGACCTGTCAAACAAGACACTGGACAAGAGAGACCTGTCAAACAAGACACTGGACAAGACAGACCTGTCAAACAAGACAGACCTGTCAAACAAGACACTGGACAAGAGAGACCTGTCAAACAAGACACTGGACAAGACAGACCTGTCAAACAAGACACTGTAAGAGAGACTATTCTTAAAAAAAAAAAATAAAGTTTAGCAAAGGATAAAGTTTCCATATCCACACATCTATTTCTAGGTCTTTGTTGCAGTGTACCAGCATTCTGGGCAGGGTCAAATAAACTCATTCGCCCCGAAATCCTTTAAAATAAACAACCTGAACTCATAAATCCTTAAAAACCATTTTACACGGGTCAGCACTATTTTTTTAAATTTATTTATAAACATGTTAAAAATGTGTTCAGAAATCAATTTAGGGGGTTATCCAATAAACATTAATGGAGCAGAAAATTAAATAACTATGTCCCCTTAGTCCTACAAACAATTTCTAGAGTGACTTCAACCTAACCCTGCTACGTGACTACCACAGGTTAAAGGAGAATTGTATCATCATAATCATATCTGGCCAGGGGGCTGCGTGGTCTCGAGGCATGGTGTCCGCCTTGAGTGCTAGAGGTTCCGGGTTCAATTCTCAGTAAGGGCTGGCATTTTTTCACATGGACCTGGACTTCTAGTAATTTCCCCTGGTCTCTGCATAGTGAGATTGGACACCCCTGTGCATTGTTGTGCACATAAAAAAAAATCCCTTGGCAGTCGGAAATCGAAAAGAGTATCCTAACAGCACTGCCCAGGCAAAATTTGGAGTAACAAATATACCCAAAGTATTTCAGGATCTTCGCCGGTGCTACAGAGCCTGTGCACTGTGCTGAGCTTCTTCGGTCTCAGACTTGAGTTAGAACAACGGAGCACTTGTGGGGGTTACTACCCGTGTGCCATGATGTTGATCCGTTGTTCAAAACCTCAAACTTCATCTGGCCCTCCCTAACACTGCCTTAGATAGGGAGTTTTACTTCATGCGATGATCTCGGCAGGCAGCTAGCTGTTCTGTGGAGTAAGACTGAACGATATGAATAAAATCCAGAGCAATGAAGGTGAATGTGTAACCTTTAAGCTTCCAAGATACTTTCTTGTTAAATGTGACATTTGCTAGCACTATAAACAGAAACAACTGACAAGATACTTTCTTGTTAAATGTGATACTGTTAAGTTAATAAATTGAAATGATAAAACACTTTCTTGTCAAACCTGACACTACTAGGTCTCTAAACTGAAACAGAAACAACTGACAAGATTCTTTCCTGTCAAATCCTGACACAAGCAGGTCTATAAGAATTTGAGAGCTTCTCGGAAGTCTGCATAATTCAGTCGAGACAGTAACATGAAGTTCATCACCGACTTCACATCCCAGTTTTCTGATTGGCTGCCGAAGATGAGTCGACACAGCATAGACAAGCTCTGCACCATGACCCACATAAACTTCTGTCGCTCCTTGTAGAGAGCATCCGACAACTGGGTCAGTCTCTTATTGTTGGTCTTTCTGCCATTCAGTGCAGTCTTCCTGGCTATTCTTCCGATTCTTCCAGTGTGTGAGTTCCTGCAGCCACCGCTGTCTAGCACCACCATCTGTACAACTGTTGCGGCCACACTTGCTGATGGCCGCCCGCAGGCCCAAGGGCCGATGGGAGCGTGGCGGGGGGGGGGCTAGACGACGGGGGACGGGGCGGGTGGGGGCCCGCCCCCGGCGCGGGGAGGCGCTGGGGTCAAAATAACATCATTATCATCAATTATCGGTTGTTAATAATCAAATCTGTGTTAAAACTGTCTTCTGTGTTTGCCCTAAAATGGCGGCTGGCATGTTCTGTTGTGGTTCACAGCTAGGTTGTGATATCTATGCCTTTCGACCCAACATTTTATATTCCAGCAAACATAGTTAGTTCCCTTTTTACGACCTGCCTGTTAAGAGGGGGTGGCTCTATACCCCCTCCCCTCCTCCCCCCCCCCCCCCCCCCCAAATTAGGCTCCCAGAACCCACAAAGGGACAAAACGAGTTACTCTGCACGGTTTTGTCAAGACTCTCAACGGTCAATCACAAGTATTTTTTCAGCTGGCTTTCCCAGCTTTCAATTGGTCCCAGATGCCAGGCATCCGGACTCTGCACCTCACTTGTACTGGTCTTTCTACCTACCACATGGGCTCTCCTGTCAGCATTAAGTTAAACTTTGTGGAGGAAAAATCAACCCTGACTTCATCCCAGCCAATCCGTATGTGCTATGCATGACACTCGAAATTCTCCAAATCATAAAACAATAGTTTCTTCTGAACATGTGTGCACCACACTGCGCTGTCATCCACAAAGTATGTGCACATTTTCAGCTTGATAGCTTATCAGAAAATATTGTAAAACTCAACCACAGCGTCTTGCCTAAAGAATCACAAAGGAACATCCCAAATTGAACTGAACCCTTTCGCTGCTACGTTCCCGGCCGTAGCTGTCTGCCCTGTGCTAAGCAAGCAGGAAAAAACATCTCTGCTGTGCGCAATACTTTTCTACCCCCAAATGCAAAAGATTGTGTCGGCAGTGAGGTCTATATTTTGTACACCCAACAATATTCACCCTACGGAGGTGTGTGGTTAGCCCGATGGTGACGCCAAGGAAGACACCAGATTTAATAACCCGGCTTCGCTAGGGACAGTGAAAGAAAATATATAATTTTCATTGTTATTTCCACCGCTGCCGTATATGTAGTAGAAACTACACAGAGAGTTTCACAAACTTTTGTCCCACACATTTTGTTCACTGCCCCGGATTATAGTAGCCCAATGAAGGTATTGCCACTCAATAGGGGAGGGGGGGTGTGATTAATGGAAAGAACTATTCCCAGTCCCTACCCCAAAATTTGATCGATGAATCCATCGTGGCTCCCACTTTAATCGCAATTAGTTGTAGTCAGTCACCATGTAATTGAATTTAAAGAAAAATAAAACCAACTGGCGGGTTGAACAAAAGACCTTCTGTCTGTAAGGCAGACATCATACCAACTACACGAGACTATTGAATAACAACAATAACCACAAATAAAACCAGTATTGTACTATGTGATAGACTGACATGTGCATTGTCTGTTGCACAGTATTGAAGGTAGTTAATTTTAATCATCATCTCAGTACATGGCCACATCCTCTTGTTGAGACCAGAGCTTACAGTGGCAGGTGAGACGAGAGCTTACAGTGGCAGGTGAGACCAGAGCTTACAGTGGCAGGTGAGACGAGAGCTTACAGTGGCAGGTGAGACCAGAGCTTACAGTGGCAGGTGAGACCAGAGCTTACAGTGGCAGGTGAGACCAGAGCTTACAGTGGCAGGTGAGACCAGAGCTTACAGTGGCAGGTGAGACCAGAGCTTACAGTGGCAGGTGAGACCAGAGCTTACAGTGGCAGGTGAGACCAGAGCTTACAGTGGCAGGTGAGACGAGAGCTTACAGTGGCAGGTGAGACGAGAGCTTACAGTGGCAGGTGAGACCAGAGCTTATAGTGGCAGGTGAGACGAGAGCTTACAGTGGCAGGTGAGACCAGAGCTTACAGTGGCAGGTGAGACCAGAGCTTACAGTGGCAGGTGAGACCAGAGCTTACAGTGGCAGGTGAGACGAGAGCTTACAGTGGCAGGTGAGACCAGAGCTTACAGTGGCAGGTGAGACCAGAGCTTACAGTGGCAGGTGAGACCAGAGCTTACAGTGGCAGGTGAGACCAGAGCTTACAGTGGCAGGTGAGACCAGAGCTTACAGTGGCAGGTGAGACGAGAGCTTACAGTGGCAGGTGAGACCAGAGCTTACAGTGGCAGGTGAGACCAGAGCTTACAGTGGCAGGTGAGACCAGAGCTTACAGTGGCAGGTGAGACCAGAGCTTACAGTGGCAGGTGAGACCAGAGCTTACAGTGGCAGGTGAGACCAGAGCTTACAGTGGCAGGTGAGACGAGAGCTTATAGTGGCAGGTGAGACCAGAGCTTACAGTGGCAGGTGAGACCAGAGCTTACAGTGGCAGGTGAGACCAGAGCTTACAGTGGCAGGTGAGACCAGAGCTTACAGTGGCAGGTGAGACGAGAGCTTACAGTGGCAGGTGAGACCAGAGCTTACAGTGGCAGGTGCCTTCTCAATGACTTCCTGGCAGAACCTGTTAGTTTCAGCTGTGATGAGTAAGTCATCAGTGATTCAGTGGAGAACCCTCCCAAAAAAGTATAAAAAATTCAAGCACTGAACGATTGGATTTACAGCAGCAGAAATAGAGCCAGAGCTGGAGTTTTCACGATTATGCACAACTGGTCTCAAGTCATCGGCAGAAACACAACTGGTCTCAAGTCATCGGCAGAAACACAACTGGTCTCAAGTCATCGGCAGACGCACAACTGGTCTCAAGTCATCGGCAGAAACACAACTGGTCTCAAGTCATCGGCAGACGCACAACTAGTCTCAAGTCATCGGCAGAAACACAACTAGTCTCAAGTCATCGGCAGAAACACAACTGGTCTCAAGTCATCGGCAGAAACACAACTGGTCTCAAGTCATCGGCAGAAACACAACTGGTCTCAAGTCATCGACAGATCAAGACATTTGATCAATTTTGTGCAGTTTTGATGGCACTTCATCGTCGCTGCTCTTTGATTCCGATGATGACGATGTCGGACAGGCAAACAGCCTTTTTCTTGGCCAGACCAGTTTGTCCAGTGAATGTTGATGGCCAGGCCGGTTTGTCCCGTGAATGTTGATGGCCAGGCCGGTTTGTCCCGTGAATGTTGATGGCCAGGCCGGTTTGTCCCGTGAATGTTGATGGCCAGGCCGGTTTGTCCCGTGAATGTTGATGGCCAGGCCGGTTTGTCCCGTGAATGTTGATGGCCAGGCCGGTTTGTCCCGTGAATGTTGATGGCCAGGCCGGTTTGTCCCGTGAATGTTGATGGCCAGGCCGGTTTGTCCCGTAAATGTTGATGGCCAGGCCGGTTTGTCCGGTGAATGTTGATGGCCAGGCCGGTTTGTCCGGTGAATGTTGATGGCCAGGCTGGTTTGTCCTGTGAATGTTGATGGCCAGGCCGGTTTGTCCCACGAATGTTGATGGCCAGGCTGGTTTGTCCTGTGAATGTTGATGGCCAGGCCGGTTTGTCCCACGAATGTTGTTGGCCTGGTCAAATCTTGTTCACTGTCAGAACTACACATTTCAAAGTCATCTTCGCTGTCACTCCTTGACAGAAACTCCATTAACTCTTCATCAACTTTAACAAGTTTTCTTGCCATTTTGTATTAATGAAATGTAGAATAGTCCACAACCATAAATATATATCAGGGCACAAAATCACCGACCACGCTGCTATGGTAAACAAAGGAACGGAATAACGCGGAATGCCGTAAAAAACACCTTAAACACATGCAAATGCATGGGACAGTGTTTTTTAATCATATGTAATGAGTCAGTTAGATTAAAATGCAGATAATGTGTATTGCCCTTTGACCCCCGAGAAAACAGTTCATAGAAATCTGTAAGGAAAGTCGAAAAACTTGATTTACACCCATCATGGGTAAACAATGAAAATAATGTCTAAAGACGTCCGTAGCAGAGTACACTTAAACGGCAAAATACATCTATAGCAGCGAAAGGGTTAATAAAATCATATAAAAAGAAAATTCCAGATACCTTTCTTGGATCTCGACACAGTAAAGCTTTTACCAGCCGTTTCACTGGACTTGGCACGTCACCTGAAAATTGAAAAAGAATTAAACAAAGTCTCGTTAAATAAGTTTTAAAACTAGGTTTTTTGTTGGTTCTGAGGTTAGTGAACATGTCACAATCCTCAACACACCAGGATTTTCTACAGTGGGTTGGGGGGGGGGCAATAGGGGTGGAAACATAAATATTATGATGGTGAACTTGAAAGAACTGTGGTAAAAGGTATGGTGCCAGCAAAGAGATCAGAAAGACAGACACAGGATACCTTGAACAAGAAAGTGCATGAGGCGGGAGATGTGGTGAGAGACTGAGTTTCTTCTATGGGCAGTGATAACAGCGACAATCTGCAAAGGATCTGCTTTATAAATGATGATGATGATGATGATGACTAAAGGAATTCCCAGAAATAGTCCGCAATGTCCGAGACATAAAGAAAGTGGAAAGTACCTGGCAGTGCTGGCAGATCCTCTTCTGTGTAACTTCTGCTGCTGAGCTGCTTTCTCTCATGGCCCCGGCTTGGGTAGAATGGGTTCTCTCCCCCCAGAATCTCATAGGCTATTGCCCCAACTGCCCACAGGTCAGACTTGCTAAAGTCCAGGAAACTGTCACTGCCAGGCGTGGCTGTCACCAACTGCAAGCGGCAAACAGATAGTTACATTTAGTGAAGTACAATATACAGCGTTAGAACGCTGGGCTCTCAAGCGGGATACCCAGGTTCAAAACCTCAATCAGGGTGAGGATTTTTTTGTTATGAGCAAAATAAAATCCTCACCCACACAGCCGTGATGACAGCACTAGTCATGTGGTCGTAAATCCCCAGGCTCAAAGGGGTATAATAAAAGCACTAGTTGGCAGGTCTGTGTTGTACTACAATTTTAACAGGCAAATCTTGAAACTGAAATAACATTAGAACTGAAAATACAAAACTTGGTTTTAAAATTTAAATTTCTATTCTGTTTAGGCTTTTACAAGCTAATGTTACCTTGCAAATGTGTATCATAATTCTTTCCGTTTCTTTTATTACGAAAATCCCTACCTAAGTAAAGGGAAATGTTGCTTTAATTCTATTTGTGTCTTTATTGTTACATCTGCATGATCTGTTGTTGATGTCTTCAATATACTTATCCCTTCATAACTTTTCTGTAGCCTGACTCACTCCATGCCATCCCAATATTGTTGATGTGTCACTAATTATCCAACACTTAGCTGCTGTAATTATCCAACACTTAGCTGCTGTAATTATCCAACACTTAGATGTTGTAATTATCCAACACTTAGCTGCTCTAATTATCCAACACTTGGCTACTCTAATTATCCAACACTTTGCTGCTCTAATTATCCAACACTTAGCTGCTCTATTTATCCAACACTTTGCTGCTCTAATTATCCAACACTTAGCTGCTCTATTTATCTAACACTTTGCTGCTCTAATTATCCAACACTTGGCTGCTCTAATTATCCAACACTTAGCTGCTCTAATTATCCAAAACTTAGCTGCTCTAATTATCCAACACTTTGCTGCTCTAATTATCCAACACTTAGCTGCTCTAATTATCCAAAACTTAGCTACTCTAATTATCCAAAACTTAGCTACTCTAATTATCCAACACTTAGCTGCTCTAATTATCCAACACTTAGCTGCTCTAATTATCCAAAACTTAGCTGCTCTAATTATCCAAAACTTAGCTACTCTAATTATCCAAAACTTAGCTACTCTAATTATCCCAAACTTAGCTACTCTAATTATCCAAAACTTAGCTACTCTAATTATCCAACACTTTGCTACTTGCAGTCATCATGAATCTTGTCAATAGCAGTGCCAGTCCACTGGCTTCTACCTCAATACTGAACCATCTTCACTTACTTCAGGAGCCATGAGCCAGGAGTAGCCTTCTACCTCAATACTGAACCATCTTCACTTACTTCAGGAGCCATGAACCAGGAGTTGCCTTCTACCTCAATACTGAACCATCTTCACTTACTTCAGGAGCCATGAGCCAGGAGTTGCCTCCAATGTACATGTCCCGAGTTGGATAAGGAATCACCAGCGATTTGTTTTCTGCCACCAGACAACATCCAAAATCACAGATCTCCAGGCGGGGAACACCTTTAAAACAAAGTACACATCAACAAATTTAAAAAATAAAAAATTGTACAACCAATTAATCATAAGCTGCAAACATTTTAAAAAATAAGTTTCTTCTTCATTGCGTTGACTGGCTGTAAACTCCAGCATTGCGATGACTGGCTGTAAACTCCAGCATTGCGTTGACTGGCTGTAAACTCCAGCATTGCGATGACTGGCTGTAAACTCCAGCATTGCGATGACTGGCTGTAAACTCCAGCACTGCGATGACTGGCTGTAAACTCCAGCATTGCGATGACTGGCTGTAAACTCCAGCATTGCGATGACTGGCTGTAAACTCCAGCATTGCGATGACTGGCTGTAAACTCCAGCATTGCGATGACTGGCTGTAAACTCCAGCATTGCGATGACTGGCTGTAAACTCCAGCATTGCGATGACTGGCTGTAAACTCCAGCATTGCGATGACTGGCTGTAAACTCCAGCATTGCGATGACTGGCTGTAAACTCCAGTGGAAAGTTCTGACTGTCCATTTCTGGACTTCAGTTCTGTTCCAGGACTTGAGTTGCATGCAAGTACATTTATTACTACATACATACAATTTGGGTGAAGACAGACTAGTAAAAACGGGCCGGAGGTGACGGCGGTGCGTGTGTGTGTGTGTGCCTGGATCTGTTCATCTTTGCAATATCTTGCTACAGTATGACATATTGGCATCTGCAGTTTTAGGCGCTGTGAACGCGCTTTGTAATTTTGAGGTACCCAGTTTGATTCCAGCAATGGTTTTAAGAGCCAACCATTCAGAGGTTATGGCCAAATACTGGATGTAGAATGGCCTAGTAAAACCAAACAGCCAAGGAATACTGAATGTAGAATGGCCTAGTAAAACCAAACAGCCAAGGAATACTGAATGTAGAATGGCCTAGTAAAACCAAACAGCCAAGGAATACTGAATGCAGAATGGCCTAGTAAAACCAAACAGCCAAGGAATGCTGAAGTGGGTTCTGCAATCTCCTGTTAAGGGTACACAACTCATTTAAGTGACACAAAAGCACAGAAAAGGTGTAAAACACCAGTCATCACCGCATACGACCTGAGAACATTTTACCTCGTTCCTAAACTGCATTAGAGGTTTCACTATTAAGTTATTGGACCTCATTGTTATTTTAAACTTAACTTACAGAGCCACCAGTTAACTTGTTTTATCTCCGTGAAAGTTGTGCCCGTCTAATTTGCATAAACTTTTTTCAGTTTTCTTGCCAATGGCAGAAACGGTTGTTCTCTGCATTATTTTGGTAAAACTCCATCTAGCTGTTTCTGCTTAAAACTCTTGAGGTCACCAAATCGGCAATCTTTTATTACGTTTGTAAATGCTTTATTATTTCCATCAACCTTTTCATAATGACAATGATAATGACTGTTTCAGCCACTTGCTTAATGATAAATTCATAACAAAAAATAAAATGAGTGTTACCTCCAGCATCTGGCACGTCCACCAACACGTTGTCAGACTTGAGGTCCCGGTGGGCTATCCCATGCTGCCCCATGTGGGACACGCCCTCCAACAGTTGGGCCAGCATCAAGCACCTGGTCTCCATCGGGATCTCGTTGTTGGCCAGGTAGTCTCGCAGGTGAGTGCTGCGTCTACAATGACAGCAGAAATAAAATATCAGAAGGTTTCCCAATAGGAGATAGAAATGTGGGAATCATGTCCCAGGTGAGGGTATCAGCAGACAACCACCCACTGCACACCGCTACAGAACTGTCTTCAACAAAGTACTCATGAAACAGGAACAGATTTAAAACACTGGAAAGCATTTTACGGGAGTCGTTAATGCAGTCGACATTGACTTTAATCGCTTGTAGAACACATGAAAAGAAAACCCTAAGCCACTGTCCTTGCAAAACAAACCGACACTATTCACTCATACCCCTCTTCTTCCGGTTCAACACTGATGTCCAAAAGTATACCGGTGTCCAAATGTGCATCTTTCAAAACAATTCTACAAAAGACAGTCCTACACTTATAACTTGGTCCATGACAGTATCAATCTGGTATACATATACTTAGATCCTTACTGGGCTATGGAGTTTGTGCATTGTCCTGCAAATCTTTTCGCATGATACATGGGTGAATGAGCACTTATGGAGATAATTGTGTGCAGCGAAAACAAAAGTCTCAATTTTACAATTCTTAAGTTGACTCAAAATCCACGATTCTGCTCAGTATAAATACTGTTTAACATTGAATTATCCGCAGGTGGGTTCCTGGGGCCACATCTTTCTTGGGGTGTGAGGGGTGGGGTGTGTGTGACCAACTGCTCCTTAAGCAATATGTCATAAAAGGCGCCTAATTGAGGATTTATTGAAATGGGACGTGTTCAGTCGCTGACTCTAACACACATTCTCCCAGTATCTATCTCTCTGATTCTCACACACATTCTCCCAGTATCTGTCTCTCTGATTCTCACACACATTCTCCCAATATCTGTCTCTGTGATACTCACACATTCTCCCAATATCTGTCTCTCTGACTCTCACACATTCTCTCAATATCTGTCTCTCGGACTCTCACACTCTCCCAATATGTCTCTCTGACTCACACATTCTCCCAATATCTGTCTCTCTGACTCTCATACACATTCTCCCAATATCTGTCTCTCGGACTCTCACACACATTCTCCCAATATCTGTCTCTCTGACTCTCACACACATTCTCCCAATATCTGTCTCTCTGACTCACATACATTCTCCCAATATCTGTCTCTCTGACTCTCACACACATTCTCCCAATATCTGTCTCTCTGACTCTCACACACATTCTCCCAATATCTGTCTCTCTGATTCTCACAAATTCTCCCAATATCTGTTTCTCTGATTCTCACATACATTCACCAATATCTGTTTCTCTGATTCTCACACACATTCACCAATATCTGTTTCTCTGATTCTCACACACATTCTTCCTATATCTGTCTCTCTGACTCTCACACATTCTCCCAATATCTGTCTCTCTGACTCACATACATTCTCCCAATATCTGTTTCTCTGATTCTCACACATTCTCCCAATATCTGTTTCTCTGATTCTCACACACATTCTCCCTATATCTGTCTCTCTGACTCTCACACACATTCTCCCAATATCTGTCTTTCTGACTCTCACACACATTCTCCCTATATCTGTCTCTCTGACTCTCACACACATTCTCCCAATATCTGTCTCTCGGACTCTCACACTCTCCCAATATGTCTCTCTGACTCACACATTCTCCCAATATCTGTCTGACTCTCATACACATTCTCCCAATATCTGTCTCTCTGACACTCACACATTCTCCCAATATCTGTCTCTCTGACTCTCACACACATTCTCCCAATATCTGTCTCTCTGACTCTCACACACATTCTCCCAATATCTGTCTCTCTGACTCTCACACACATTCTCCCAATATCTGTCTCTCTGACTCACATACATTCTCCCAATATCTGTCTCTCTGACTCTCACACACATTCTCCCAATATCTGTCTCTCTGACTCTCACACACATTCTCCCAATATCTGTCTCTCTGATTCTCACAAATTCTCCCAATATCTGTTTCTCTGATTCTCACATACATTCACCAATATCTGTTTCTCTGATTCTCACACACATTCACCAATATCTGTTTCTCTGATTCTCACACACATTCTTCCTATATCTGTCTCTCTCTCACACATTCTCCCAATATCTGTCTCTCTGACTCACATACATTCTCCCAATATCTGTTTCTCTGATTCTCACACATTCTCCCAATATCTGTTTCTCTGATTCTCACACACACTCTCCCTATATCTGTCTCTCTGACTCTCACACACATTCTCCCAATATCTGTCTTTCTGACTCTCACACACATTCTCCCTATATCTGTCTCTCTGACTCTCACACACATTCTCCCAATATCTGTCTCTCGGACTCTCACACTCTCCCAATATGTCTCTCTGACTCACACATTCTCCCAATATCTGTCTGACTCTCATACACATTCTCCCAATATCTGTCTCTCTGACACTCACACATTCTCCCAATATCTGTCTCTCTGACTCTCACACACATTCTCCCAATATCTGTCTCTCTGACTCTCACACACATTCTCCCAATATCTGTCTCTCTGACTCTCACACACATTCTTCCAATATCTGTCTCTCTGACTCACATATATTCTCCCAATATCTGTCTCTCTCACTCTCACACACATTCTCCCTATATCTGTCTCTCTGACTCTCACACACATTCTCCCAATATCTGTCTTTCTGACTCTCACAAATTCTCTCAATATCTGTTTCTCTGATTCACACATATTCTCCCAATATCCATTTCCCTGCCCTCTCACCTTCGCATCACCAAGTACAGGGTCTTGTTCCTCCCATAATGCAGTTCTGGGTTGAGCCGGTGTGGCAAGGCGGCGGGGAACTTGCGCAGGCCCTCTTCGGTGACCAGCATGTCATCAACAAATATGCCAGGCATCTCAACAATGTTGGGGTGGGGTGGCAGTCGGTTGACGTAGTCCTTCCTGCAATGTCACATTTCTAATTCAACATCAATGCCAAATATTATCATATGTAATTTATGTAGTATCATAATCAAGCAAGATACAAATGGGCAGACAAGCACAGAAACAAAAGGGGAGATAGTCAACAGAGAGAGAGAGATGGTGATGAGACACACAAAAAAGACACGAGTGGATAAAAGGATGGAGAGAAAAATGGCTATACAAACACCAAACTGAGAGGCACAGAGAGAGAGAGAGAGACAGAGAGAGATAGAGAGACAGACAGACAGAGAGAGAGAGAGAGACAGACAGACAGACAGACACAAAGGCGGAGAGAGTGTGTATTTATCTGTTATATGCAAGTAGTAGGAAAATTTAACAAATGTTGTGATTGATCTTCAGCATGGGGATCACAGAGGCTTGTGTTGTCTTTACAGAAACTAATAATAACTGATCTGTGTCTGTGCCTTATGTGTGTCAATGTTCAGGATATCATAATTGTAAGCGAATGAAAGTTTATTCAGACACAGTCTCTGTAATCACGTTAGACATCCACAGTGCTTTCTTCCGTGTCCACAATGTGTTGACAATATTCTGGAGAGAGAGAAAAAGGTACTGACGAATGCAAGCTTAAGGTCACTTAGCAAACATAAACGGACCCTCCCTTGCCTCTGGTGCAGGGGACAAACTGACCCTCCCTTGCCTCTGGTGCCTCAGACAAATGGACCCTCCCTTGCCTCTGGTGCCTCAAACAAACGGAACCTACCTTGCCTCTGATGCCTCAGACAAACGGACCCTCCCTTGCCTCTGACCCTCCCTTGCCTCTGGTGCTTTGGACAAAAGGACCCTCCCTTGCCTCTGGTGCAGCGGACAAACAGACCCTTCCTTGCCTCTGGTGCCTCGGACAAACGGACCCTCCCTTGCCTCTGGTGCCTCTGACAAACGGACACTCTCTATTGCCTCTGGTGTCTCGGACAAAAGGACCTTTCCTTGCCTCTGGTGCCTCGGACAAACGGACCCTCCCTTGCCTCTGGTGCAGCGGACCTGAGGTGCTAGATCTAGATTTATTTTCAGAGACCAGTCAGCATTCAAGGAGTCATGTGGTCAACAACATGGCCGCCATAACTTCTCAGGGCATTTCCTGGTACCACTGTGAAGCTGAGTCAACCTCTCAGGGCATTTCCTGGTACCACTGTGAAGCTGAGTCAACCTCTCAGGGCATTTCCTGGTACCACTGTGAAGCTGAGTCTACCTCTCAGGGCATTTCCTGGTACCACTGTGAAGCTGAGTCTACCTCTCAGGGCATTTCCTGGTACCACTGTGAAGCTGAGTCTACCTCTCAGGGCATTTCCTGGTACCACTGTGAAGCTGAGTCTACCTCTCAGGGCATTTCCTGGTACCACTGTGAAGCTGAGTCTACCTCTCAGGGCATTTCCTGGTACCACTGTGAAGCTGAGTCTACCTCTCAGGGCATTTCCTGGTACCACTGTGAAGCTGAGTCTACCTCTCAGGGCATTTCCTGGTACCACTGTGAAGCTGAGTCTACCTCTCAGGGCATTTCCTGGTACCACTGTGAAGCTGAGTCTACCTCTCAGGGCATTTCCTGGTACCACTGTGAAGCTGAGTCTACCTCTCAGGGCATTTCCTGGTACCACTGTGAAGCTGAGTCTACCTCTCAGGGCATTTCCTGGTACCACTGTGAAGCTGAGTCTACCTCTCAGGGCATTTCCTGGTACCACTGTGAAGCTGAGTCTACCTCTCAGGGCATTTCCTGGTACCACTGTGAAGCTGAGTCTACCTCTCAGGGCATTTCCTGGTACCACTGTGAAGCTGAGTCTACCTCTCAGGGCATTTCCTGGTACCACTGTGAAGCTGAGTCTACCTCTCTTGAAGAAACTGACCAAATAATCAGCTTACACCTTTTGTATTTCATCAAAATAAAATATTAGCTGGAAATACATGTCAGTGATGACTGTGAATCAAGAAAAGGTTGTTGATTTAATGCTCACCCAAGAGAATCGACCTGACATCCCTCTGCCCGCAATGGTACAATCTCTCTTTCCAGAGTCTGTATAATACTGTGGGAGTTGGACTCGGCCCCGTAGTTAAACACGGCCTTCACAGCAAGGTCATACCCCCCATCTCTGTCACAGCAACTGCTGGGTGAATCTGTGGAAGGGTCAAGTTCAATGTAACATGACAGTCATGTGACTCTTAACGCTTTCAATCCCACTAGGTCATAACAACTGCACAACAAGGGAATTTTTAAAAAAAAGGTAAGGCACAGATATGTGAACAGACGGATCTGCTTCTTCTTCGTGTTAGCGTTCACAGGCTATAAACTCAAGTGGAAAGTTCTGGTTGTTTATCCAATTCTGATCTTTGGTCTCGTTCCAGAACTTGAGTTTTCAGTGCACACTTACAGATCACACTTATTTGTATACAGACTATATTGATAGTGTCCAGTGATACAGATGATAGAGATAGTGTCCAGTGATACAGATAATAGAGATAGTGTCCAGTGATACAGATGATAGAGATAGTGTCCAGTGATACAGATGATAGAGATAGTCTCCAGTGATACAGATGATAGAGATAGTGTCCAGTGATACAGATGATAGAGATAGTGCCCAGTGATACAGATAATAGAGACAGTGTCCAGTGATACAGATAATAGAGATAGTGTCCAGTGATACAGATGATAGCTATCGGTTCCTTGCCTCTCAAAGAAATGCACTGCGACTTTCAAAAAAACCCGAATTAATCACCATTTATTACATGCAAAGGGGGAGGGGGGAGAAAGTATATTCTTTTCCCTCCCAGAATGAGGCCCAGAAACCAACATGGGAAAAATGAGAGATGAGTGGTTCGATTTCTGTATCCCATGATTCTGTGATTGTGTGGCAGGTCCTGTACAGAACGCTGCTCTCGTCACAATCGGCCTGAAAGAAACTTGGTCCCTCAGCAGCTCTCCTGCTCAAGGTGTGTCTTATGACCTGTGCCCATCCTCTTGCTGGTTGGCCCCTGCCCCTGGCCAAAGTATTTCAGTTTCCAAGACAAGTTGTGGTTTATAAGCCAATGTTCATTAATGCTCAAATCTTCTAGGATCTCAGTATTTCTTTTCTTCTTGGTACATGGTATTCTAAGAATCATTCTATAACATTTCAGCTCAAAAGCTCTAATTTTTTCGCCTAAAGATTGCAAAATACTCCACGACTCACATCCATATCTTGCTACAAGAAAGATGCCTGCTCTCAAAATGCTGACTTTGATTTGCTCACTGGTGAACACAGTTGTAATGCTGTTGAATATTTGTGTATGTACTTGAACTAAGTGTCACAGCACCCAATCACACATTGTGCGTCCCTTGGGACAGACCAAGTTACTTCATTCAGTACGCTGTTACAAATTTATAGACAAAAATATTCATAGCTCTTAAATCTTCTGTGTGGAAGACAAGGGAAAACAGCACAATAATTTCTGTGTGGAAGACAAGGGAAAACAGCACAATCATTTCTGTGTGGAAGACAAGGGAAAACAGCACAATAATTTCTAAGTGGAAGACAAGGGAAAACAGCACAATCATTTCTGTGTGGAAGACAATGGAAAACAGTACAATCATTTCTGTGTGGATGACAAGGGAAAACAGCACAATCATTTCTGTGTGGAAGACAAGGGAAAACAGTACAATCATTTCTGTGTGGATGACAAGGGAAAACAGCACAATCATTTCTGTGTGGAAGACAAGGGAAAACAGCACAATAATTTCTGAAGTCAAAGGTCAAGTCAAGGACCCTTCTTACGTCAGTGCTGCATCCAGCATTTGTTGCTAGACACATATTTGTATAGACCAATCAGCATTCGGTGGGTGACATCACGTAAGGCTATTCTGGTGGAAGTACATATTAAACAAACTTCCAACCGAGTCTTTGGTCTCAATAACCTGAGACTGCCTGTGATAAAGCTGTTCCTTTTAACTATTCCAACATAGAAAGATTCTCTCCAGATAGAATTATATAGTACTCCTCCAATGAGGTTTTATCGACGCTACACCTGTACTGCTGGGAAATTAATCAAATCTTCATTAATGAGAGGCCGAATTAAACCTGACAGTTAATCACATACATGGGTGCTGAGCGAATTATAAAAGATGGTAAAGTTCATACCAGAGACAACACTACTGATATAGATCATCTATTTCATGCGAACAAAAGAAGAATCACAAACATAAACAGCCGCTGCTTTTACTGGAAGACAACAAAGAGTAGGAGAAAATCACAGAGGAAGATGAAGGAAAGAAGGAAGGTAAAATAAGTATGGACAACGATATGAAGTAAAGGAAAGAGAAAAAAAAAGGGCCGGAAAGATGGAGAAATGAGGGGACAAAAGGCAGAAAGTAAAGGAGTGGAGAGAGGAAAATTAAATATATTAACAGGCCTATACAGCCAATGACCAATACCTGCATCAACTTTGACCTTGGCCTTGTAAACAGCTCCCTCACAACCACTGGCGATGGACTGCGGGTTTATATCCAGGTCACCCAGACTCTGAGGCAACTTCTCCAGTGGTTCTGTCTGCCAGGTGTAGCTCCGAAACTTATTCTAGTAAGAAGAAATCCCAGCTGTTTATTGTATGAAGTCAATGTACAGTTAGCAGATGCAGGCACTCACCTCTGTATGCAATACTCATGTATGACTTTATAAAATAAGGATTAGAGACAGACATTTGAGAACAGTCTTATGATTAACCTTTGGACCCATCAAAGATGCAAACAGCAGAGAATGGAGATAAGAAGCAGCAACAGAATTCAAAACCTTTTTAATTTACCACTAATTATCAGAGGAGGCCGTCATAGCTGGACGCTGGCCTGCGGATCTGAACCAGAGGGAGCCGTCATAGCTGGACGCTGGCCTGCGGTTCCGAACCAGAGGGAGCCGTCATAGCTGGACGCTGGCCTGCGGATCCGAACCAGAGGGAGCCGTCATAGCTGGACGCTGGCCTGCGGATCCGAACCAGAGGGAGCCATCTTAGCTGGACGCTGGCCTGCGGATCCGAACCAGAGGGAGCCGTCATAGCTGGACGCTGGCCTGCGGATCCGAACCAGAGAAAGCCGTCATAGCTGGACGCTGGCCTGCAGGTCCTGATGGAGCAGGACTTTTTTTTTGACCTTGGCTCCCAGGTCAGTCCCGCCTTAAATGGGCACAAGGTCAAGGCAGCTTGCAGGATGTTGACACCACCGACTGGTCTCTAAGATTTGGGTCTGACTATATATGCCTGAAAGTGTGGAAAAGGGTCTTTTTAAAAACTAATTATTGGCACCATGGGGGGGGGGGGTGTATGATAGGCAAAGACACCCCTTTTGATCGTTGCACATTTTGCTTCTGATTGTGTGCCATTTACAGGATACTGTTCTGTCACCAAGCTACTGAACTGTGTGCTTGGCATGACACTGTGAGCTGCTGATTTCATCTGGAATATGTGTCAACTGTGACCAATGTGGTGTTGTGACCTAAGGATTCAGAAAATGGCAGTGGTATGTTGCCACTGAATAGGTGGTGCTTTATGTAATTAAAACTGATCATGTGTGCAGCTGCTGGTCTGTTTGTAACTGCTGCTTAAGTGGATGATGAGCTACTTTTCTAATGTCGGACTGTTTGTGTTGGCACTTTAATGTGTGTTTTCCTATGCTGCTGAGTGGATATGTTAAGACTGCAGCTTTATTTCCACAACGAACAGTGATGGACATTCTGTGAGGTTTTCGCTGGTACAGGAGGCGAAGCAGCTATGGAGTGACCGTTTGCCATGAAGCTGAAACTAAGATTACAAGTACAAGATTATTTGAAGTTTCAGCTATATAAATTAAAAAACATACCCGCATTTCTGCCATGATCTTCTCCGCGCTGTCATCAATAACTGTGGGGACATCGAGCCCGAGTGTCACTCCGATCAGCGACATGATAGGGACATGTCTGAAGCTTCTCGCCGAGCAAGATGACAGACGCAATGCGGACCGTCTTCGAAGCTCGCTGGCCAAAGACTTGGAGAAATTCCTTGCAAACAAGGATCGAAAAATACGAGACTGCAAGGGAATACCGGTTCTGTTCAGTAGGAGACATCTTTGCTTAGCTGCCACCAAGCCGACGTCGACCGTTTGTGGAACCTGTGGTTTCGCGGCAACCTTGCGCTGGATCGTCTGATGGAGGATGTCCCGCCAGCTTTTCACAGCCTTGCCGAAGCCTTTCAGAAACGGCAGGTTGGTCCCCACGGCCGTCTTCGCCCACATGGCTAGCGGCATCTTGTTACTTCACACTGAACAACTCTTACAGAGATAATCTATCAGATATAATTTTAAAAAAGACGAGATCGTCGAATGCCTTCTCCTTCGTCTGCAGCGCAGTTTCAGGCGGCAGCCATGTTGTCACGTGACAATAATATTTGGACCTGACGTAATCGCCAACACTCCAGGGTCGTGGCAAGGGCAGGGTGGAGTGGGTCCCACAGGTACAGTTTTTAAAAGGAGTAGAGCTTCAGAGATACGGTACACTGGAGTGGGTCCCACAGGTACAGAGATACGGTACACTGGAGCGGGTCCCACAGGTTCAGATTAACGGTACACTGGAGTGGGTCTCACAGGTACAGAGATACGGTACACTGGAGCTGGTCCCACAGGTACAGATTAACGGTACACTGGAGTTGGTCTCACAGAGATACGGTATACTGGAGTGGGTCCCACAGGTACAGAGTTACGGTACACTAGAGTGGGTCCCACAGGTACAGAGATACTGTACACTGGAGTGGATCACCCATGGACATTGCGATGTTCTGCAGTACACAGCTAGGTTGGATCCCTCCTGTAGATTGAGATAATCTACAATAAACTATGATGGATTCCCCCGTGTACGTGAGATGATCTGCAATACATCATTAGAGTCGACCTTCCACAATCACAAAAATAATTCACGAAATACCTCAAGGATTTTTACACCATGTTATGTTATGTTATCACAATCGACGTCACTGCACATTAAGCATTCTTATGCGTGCTCAGTCCTCCGATGGAGCAGTCCCTTCAGTGGGGAGAATAATGTACACCATGTGCACAGTTTTACCGCTTCGGGTGTCCAGAAAAATATAAGTTTCTGATTCCCTGGCCACCTCGACCGTAGGCACGTAGTGCTGCCATAGAATCACTGTGATGTTATTTTTCCATATTTTTTTTGACCTACTTTGTGCTTTACATCTTTCTCCTCTGTTGGTGCAGCCCTCGTATTTGCAGGGTGTGGCGTCACTACACATTCTCTACAAGTGGACAACTCATTTCTTTTTTTGCTTCACTGTTCGCCCAAACGACATGAATTGAATTGTGACTGCGATATTCGTGTCTTTCGGCCAACACATCCGACTTCATCGAGCACTTGATTTACTATCTGTATATATAATTAGAATTGGTTCTGTGTCAACTTTTCCCTATGACATTGCTTGCAAAATAATCTTGAAATACGGTTAACAAAATTTGCTTTAAATTCTTTAAAATATTTGTTTCTTTGTTAATATCTTACCTCCAGATGACGTCACAGGACAGTTCAACATGTTAGAGGGTTGCAAGACTGGGTTTCCCAGCTTTCTGATGCTTTTAACGACCCCAACCCACTTACGTCCCACGAGAGAGTGCAGCCTTAGTCCCACGAATACATGCAGCCTGGGTCCCCCGACTGCATGCAACCTATCTACCACCCCCTGAAATATTAGACTGTCCCTTGACCTGTAGATTTCCTCTGTTTGGGGTAGGAAATTAATAAAGCACCAAATCTTTATATTAACTGTAAAATGCGAAGACGACGATGAGACCATCTTCCTTGAACTCCTTGTCGCGTAGTCAGGCGACTGGAAATCTGACCATTGCCTGTTTGGGTTTTCCAGATTAACTTTCCCGCCATCCCCTGAGATTTTCCGGCATGTTATTCGAGGGAAGACATCTGCAGCTTTTTCAAAGCTACTTTGAACTTGTCGTTTGTTCTATCATCATCACTATCCTCATGTCATGTTCTATGTCACAAAGGACTAGCGATCTTTTACGTTATACCCTGCGTAATCCCTTGGATAACATGAACAAAATCCAGTTTAGCACCTTTCGGGCCAAGATTCGTTTTCATGTTTCTCTCGGGCGTCCCTGTTTCTTCCGTCCTTTTGTATTGCCTGTTTGGTGATTCTCTACTCGCTTCTTCTCGAGATCTGGCCAATACATTTTTGTCGCTACAACTGTGGAAACCTGTGGTTGATCGGACATGTCTCTAATCTCGTCACTAATCTTGAAATTATCCTGTTATAATTAACCCTACTTTGTTGTTTTAAATGTGTCCAAAATTAAGTACAACAAAAACATTTGCAGCATATCAGTGTTTTATTGATGTAAACTTGTTTTTATGGACATTTATTTGTGAGTATAATCGCACATACTATATATATATATATATATATATATATATATATATATATATATATATATATATATATATATATATATATATATATATATATATATATATATATTATCCTGTTCTGTCATTATATTTTAAAACACGTGCAATATAAATAAACGGATTTCAAGCTGTACGATAGACATGGCCAATAAGACACCTTTTTTGGGGTGCCTAGTTAACCATTTTCTTAGTGCACTTGTATCCATGGCGAGGTGCAGACGCCATCTGGAGGTGACAGGTTCAATTCCCGGCACGGTAACTATAGTTTTCGATTTTTATGTTGTCTAGTGTGTTCTTCTATCTTTCTACTTCTTTCTATGAGTACCAATCAATACACTTCCTGTTACTTGATTAATTCATGATTTATATCATGTGCAATCAGTTCAATATCATGAATAGAATCAAGTCCAGTAGCTTAGGCCTCTCTCGTCAACGTTCGTCTCAAGGTTTCTTTTGGGCTTTCTCGCCTCCTTAATCGCTTTATTCTCCACATGAGTGCCTGTTTTGTTATTCTCTGCTTTTTATATATCTATATAGGTTTGTGTGTATTTAGGCTCTCCTTTAAATAACGGTCGCTAGCTGGGAGGCGACGGCCGCTTAGTCGGAGTTCACTCCCCTGGCTGCAGTGCAATTACGGAGTGGAAAAGAGGGAACGAAACAAATGAGATAGTTACGTGTCATCCTAGGGTTAGGCTTAGGGTTTGGGTTAGGGTTTGGAGTAGGGTTAGGGTTTGGGGTAGGGTTAGGGTTTGGGGTAGGGTTAGGGTTGGAGTTAGGGGTGGGGTTTGGGGTAGGGTTAGGGTAACACATCACGGAAACCACGCAAGCTAATCGCTCATTGCGACATACAGATCCGCAGGTCTCACATCTACAGTCACTAAGTCTTTCGTCGGAAGTACGCGGTCGCTAATGTCAGTCGCAGCGCGTGGTCTAGCTCTGGCAGCCATGTCGACCTCACTTTGTTTTTTGATTCGTGACTTGTCCACTCCGTAATTGCAGTGCAGCCAGGGGAGTGAACTCCGACTAAGCGACCGTCGCCTTCCAGCTAGCAACCGTTAAATATATATATATATATATATATATATATATATATATATATATATATATATATATATATATATATATATATAGTTAGTTAGTCTTTCCTCTTGTGTTGAGTGCGGCACATAGGGCAGAGGTCATGACTCTCCATGCATGGCGGTGCGTTGCAATCTGTTGTAGGTCTTGGATGTTTGAGTGGCCCATATATATGACTCTTTGTGTTTTAATATATGTATTTATAGATATATGTGCGCTCGCGTGCGCCCGTGTGTGTGTATGTATATATATATATATATATATATATATATATATATATATATATATATATATAAAGTGGTGTGGCCTGGTCATGTTAAGGGATCAAAGTCTGACTAACCGCCCTTCCCTACTTACAGCAGCAAATATCAGACATGACTGGCTGCTGCTCTACCACAGGGTGCTGCTGTTTCTGCTGCTACTACTACTGCTACAACGACGACAACAACAACTACAACTAGTACTGCTGCTGCCACAAACTATCGCGAGTGCCAGGTGTAATAACTTACATGGAAGTTCAGATGTTAAGGTAAACTTCAGGTCATTAAAAAAGCATAAGCATCAAGTGCACGTGTACTGATGAACTGGAACAGCAGATGTTGAGGAAATGGAAAGTAGTATTTTACGATAGCCCCCAAGAGATTCGAAACTAGACCTTAACTAACGAAAGTACCGTCCTAATTAACAACTTTCAATTTTATTTTGCTAGTGCGTCCTCTAAACTGTGTTAATTTTCTGTACAGGTAACTAAACGTTTGTGCCAATTCCTTTGTTAAAGTGTAAGAGAATTGCGAAACTTTGCATATTTTGTAAACAAATGTGTGAAGTTCTCTTCGTCTTCATCTTCATTCGCCTCTTGAATTACCGTTTTCCCTTCGTTGTTGGGAATGTCGGTTTTTGCTCCCGCCTTCAGAAGAAGAGCACAGATCTCCTCGTTGCCATTACTGTAAGCATGCCATAGAGCGGTCCATCCTTCCGTGTCTTGAGCATCGATGTTTATATTGAAGTTGAGAAGAAGCTGTACGATGTCACGATTGTCATTGGCAACGGCCACAATTAGGGGTGTAAAGTTGTAGTCTTTAGTGTGAACCCAAGACAGATCAGCACCGAAAGTGATTAAGATTTTTGCAATAGCTGTGCTCCCATCACGACACGCAATATAAAGTGCTGTTTCCTCTCTGGCGTTGACGCTGTTTGGATTAGCATTTGCCTGCAAGAGAACTTTGACTAGTTCCTGAGAATTCACTTCTGCTGCAAAACACAACGGTGAATCACCAAACGACAAATGGGCGTTAGGGCTAACTTTGTGTTTGAGTAACCTAGCGACCACAGCAGACTGTTTTTTAATCATAGCATGCTCAAGCAGTTCATATCTGTTACTAATAGACATGCTAGATCTTCTTTCTAGCAGTAGAATTGCTAATTTTGTGTTTCCTGTTTCGATTGCCAGCTTCATTGGCGCGGTGTCTGAAACATTGAGGGAAACTCCATGATCCAGCAAAGTCTCCACTTGTTTGACATGATTTCCTTGCACAGCTCGAAAAAGTTCCTCATCTCTGTCGGCCATTGCTGTCAGCGATGACAAGAAATCTTTAGTAGCAGCGACTGGCGGCGAAGACTTCTACTGGGATAAAGACAGCGATAATACTAAGTTCAGTGAACCAAATCATTGAGGACATAATAAATAGGGAGACTTTCTAAGCTAAACATAACCTTTATCGTGGTGATAGAGATGATGATGTTGACGCGGAGGATACATTATTGGTCCAAACGATTTTGATGAAACAAAGATCCCGGATAAGAATGTTTAAAAGAGATGCATTTCTAACAGTAGCTTTCAACCTGGCAGTTTGCCCACCCTTCCCCAGTGTGCACAAGGGTGTATTAAGAAATTTTGAAACTGAGTTTAATTGTACCTGTATAAATCTGTTATACCAACCTATTATTTTTTTAACTTTGAATAAAATATTTTGTAAAGCTATTTATGAATTTAAAAAAAAAAAACGGAAGGACTTTTTCTTTTATAACGAACAGTTTCTTTAGCAGATATCACAAATACAAACAGTGTCAATCATAACACTGGTTTTTATTTTGGACACTCAATCACCAGTTGTTTAGTGATCGTTTCTTAATGTTATTTAACACTGATTAAAGTGGATGGTTTTCTCCATATTTCAGTTGAATGTACTTGGGACTCTTGTTTTTATCCTCTTTTTTTTTTTTTTTTAAATTACACATTTTAAACTAGGGGCGGTGTCTTGCCATGTGTTCATGGAGGGGGAGGTTGGGGCGTGGTCTTGTCATGTGTTCATGGAGTGGGAGGTTGGGGCGTGGTCTTGTCATGTGTTCATGGAGTGGGAGGTTGGGGTGTGGTCTTGTCATGTGTTCATGGAGTGGGAGGTTGGGGCGGTGTCTTGTCATGTGTTCATGGAGGGGGAGGTTGAGGCGGTGTCTTGTCATGTGTTCATGGAGGGGGAGGTTGAGGCGGTGTCTTGTCATGTGTTCATGGAGGGGGAGGTTGGGGCGGTGTCTTGTCATGTGTTCATGGAGGGGGAGGTTGAGGCGGTGTCTTGTCATGTGTTCATGGAGGGGGAGGTTGGGGCGGTATCTTGTCATGTGTTCATGGAGTGGGAGGTTGGGGTGTGGTCTTGCCATGTGTTCATGGAGGGGGAGGTTGGGGCGGTATCTTGTCATGTGTTCATGGAGGGGGAGGTTGGGGTGGTGTCTTGCCATGTGTTCATGGAGGGGGAGGTTGGGGTGGTGTCTTGCCATGTGTTCATGGAGGGGGAGGTTGGGGTGGTGTCTTGCCATGTGTTCATGGAGGAAGAGGTTGGGGCGGTGTCTTGCCATGTGTTCATGGAGTGGGAGGTTGGGGTGGTGTCTTGCCATGTGTTCATGGAGGGGGAGGTTGGGGTGGTGTCTTGCCATGTGTTCATGGAGGGGGAGGTTGGGGTGGTATCTTGTCATGTGTTCATGGAGTGGGAGGTTGGGGTGTGGTCTTGCCATGTGTTCATGGAGGGGGAGGTTGGGGCGGTATCTTGTCATGTGTTTATGGAGGGGGAGGTTGGGGCGGTGTCTTGTCATGTGTTCATGGAGGAAGAGGTTGGGGTGGTGTCTTGCCATGTGTTCATGGAGGGGGAGGTTGGGGCGGTATCTTGCCATGTGTTCATGGAGGAAGAGGTTGGGGCGGTGTCTTGCCATGTGTTCATGGAGGAAGAGGTTGGGGTGGTGTCTTGCCATGTGTTCATGGAGGGGGAAGTTGGGGTGGTGTCTTGCCATGTGTTCATGGAGGAAGAGGTTGGGGCGGTGTCGTGCCATGTGATCATAGAGGGGGAGGTTGGGGTGTGGTCTTGCCATGTGTTCATGGAGGAAGAGGTTGGGGCGGTGTCGTGCCATGTGATCATAGAGGGGGAGGTTGGGGTGGTGTCTTGCAATGTGATCATGGGGGGGGGGGGGGGGGGAGAGGAGGGAGATGGGGAAAAAAGAAGAAACTACCAATTAATAATATCTTCTTTTTCGCGCTTACCGGCTGTAAACCCCAGCGGAAAGTTCTGGACTTAAGTCTCTTATTCCAAAACCTGAGTGCTGTGTGCACATCTGTTTTACAGATCTGACTTATGTGTATGCAGATTGTTGGTTTATTGCCTCTCAAGCAGACGCACTCCGACATCAAAGGAAACTCCCAATCAGTCGACTCTTATCACGTGCTAGTTAGGAAGGCAGTGGGTCTTTTCTTGTTTTCCATACAATGGGACCTATGAACCCACACAGGGAATTTAAAAACATCAACTCTGATTGCGTTGACTGATGGACTACCTTGAACATATTTTGACCACACAAATCAAAAACGAAGAATTGAAGATGAAAACAAAATGTTCGCAAACGTTATCAAAGAAAGAAGATTGGGATTCTTGGATATGTTTACCAATGCCATGTGACACTTTGGCAAAGACAGATTTCTGATGGAAGATAGATAGAAACCCGGGGACAGTAGAATGGGAAATGGTTAGTTGCAGATCCTTTACAGGACGTTGCAGAACCAACCCTAAGAGCCCCTGTTGTGTGGTTTCTCTAGGCAAATTTACGTCCAGTAGTTTGCCATTGCCCCTGGACGGTCGGCTCTCTTGATACCATTATCGAAACCAACGCAAGACGCGTGGCCTGCAGCTGGGATCGAACCCGGCATCACGAAGCGTTCGCATCGACATAGAATGGGAAATGAATGAATGTAAAATGACATGGTATACTCCGAGTATACTTCAGTCAAATTTGTCCTCTACACCAATAAAACCAGCACAGTTAGATAGCTGTAAACAATTTCTTTCCAATGGTACCTCATTTACGCTTGTATGTCATTTCTGAGCTGAGATATGTAGGTTTTTGTGGAGATGAGATGTAGAAAGCAGCTGCTAAAACTTGTGACACAGAAACAAGGTTTTCTCTGCGCATGCGCACTTCTGTTTTGGCTTTGTTGACATTGGACTGTCACTGGACAAGATGGCAGACAATGAGACACAGCCACATACCGATTGCCTAAAAAATGTCTCTGTAAATTTAAAAAGCCACTGTACAGAAAGAAATTTGTGAATGTAAAATTGGACGGAGAATTCAATTATAACTAGCATTACCAGTACGAGTAATTTTTAAAGCCCTACTAAAGCCAACCCTGAATCCTTATCGCTATTTTATTTTCAATCAAAGTAACAGAAAAACAGAGGAAGTCCGGCTGTCGTAGACATGCGCTGTTAATCGAGTTCCTTCCCGCCGTTTTCAGCTATTTAGAGTGGGTGAAAATCACACCAATCGCAAAATTTCATGAGAGATTAGGACCCATCCTGAAACCCCAGCCGACATTTGCGAAACAAGTTTCGAACGGTTTCCGGGTAACGGAAATTGCCGAAGAGACAGCAAATTGCCGAAATCGTAGTCGCTGCAAATAAAAGCTGCAGTGAAGATAGTTTGTTAATGACTTTATGGTCACCAGCGACAAAAAACTATATGAATAGAGAGAATGAATACTTATAAGTTTCTGTGTCCAGCAGAGATGTCAGGGATGGCGGGCGCTTGGTCAAACACCGGCACCATCAAACCCGGACTGCCACTATTGGGACAAGGGACGTCACTCTGATAATATTATCTGCCGTTGCCGGGGAAACGTTTGCAGAATGTAAATATTCTCTGGTGTTCATTCTTTTCGAGATTACGGATAAAATAATAAACCGTTCTTGTATGAAGCTATAGAATAATACAAAGTTCTGAATTAGAGGTTGAGAAAAGACAGCTTTTTTATCATGTCAAGATCAAATGAACTTCATGCATTGTACTTGAACAGTTTAAACATGTTCACAGTATGTTTGTAATAGTAATTTCTGGCCATATTTTCTAGTTATTTGTGCTTGGTTGGTGTGTGAAAAAATGATTCATCTAGGCATTGAGTTGGAGTCTGTTGTTTTTAAAATACATAAATTATGAAAGATTTATTACTAGGGCCTTATGATCTCATCCCAGCCACTTGCGTTGTGGTCTATAATAAATTAGGCACTGACCCCATTTAAGAATACTTCGGAAAGGAAAGGGGAATTGCCCACTCGAGCGCACTTTTTTACATTTCCTAGAACAAGTAGAGGGTTAAAACGTCACGCCCTAATGACTGTATCTGTTATTGGATCACCTCAACTTTTACATCCAAATATATTCAATTCCTGGTGAGATCAGATGCCTCAGAAGTTTTACAAATGTGAAGTTCAAGGTGTACTCTTCGGCCCTCGTGGTTTCTTGAGAGGGAAATGAAAGTTCTGCAACACAGTCACTCTGGATATGGTGCCTTGTCAGGAGAAAAGTGTACACACTTCTTCTTCTTCTTCTTCTTCGCGTTCACCAGCTGTACACTCTGGCGGAAAGTTCTGGTTGCTCGTCCACTACTGAACTGCAGTCCTGCTCCAGAACCTGAGTGTTGCGTGTGCATCAGTTTTACAGATCTCATTCTCTTGAATACAGACTGTTGGTTCCTTGCCTCTCCAGCAGATGCACTCCGACTTCAAAGGAAGCTCCCGAATTAGTCGACTCTTACGACATGCTTTTGGGGAGGCAGTGGGTCTATTCTTGTTCTCCCCACAATGGGACCCCGGAACCCACACGGGGGTGTACACACTTAAGTCACCCTGATGCACACACGCACTTCTCTGGGATTATTTGAGAGTTGTAACTTTTGTTTTCCTGAGAATTCATGAAGAAAGTGTGAAACTGAGCTATTTCCCACGTCATATATGAATCCTGCGGGAGGCAACAATGTAATCACCACCATAAAGCAGAGATCTATTTATTTCTGTATGGGCCAGATGCACAAGTGTCAGAAATAAACATGTTCCTAATATATATATATATATATATATATATATATATATATATATATATTTTCACATGTTGAATTAGGAATACACAGCACTCAGGACACCCACATAAGCACTTTGTCCCCATCTTCAGCAGAAAGCGAAGGTCACATTATGATGGCACCAGTAACTGTCTGATTGTATATTCATCTTGCCTTTTCCCTGAGTGTTGAGTGCCGGCCAGATCCCCCTGTAACTCCTAACAGCACCATTCCCCAGACAGTAACGATTTCTCTGTGCCTCCCATATTCATATATATTCCCTCAGTGTTGCAACACACAAATAATAGCTGCCCACACATTATGCAGTGTGTGGGACAAAGTTATTTATTTAAACAAATAAATTATTTATCACTTTCTGATCCTAAATTGAATCAGATAAGATTCCGAACAGGAAAAACAATGAGGACATTTTCCGCACCCGTAAGTGTTTCTAGTGCTTGAGCTATATTTTATAGATCATTCAGCACATGGTGGGTGATTTTGTCAACATCACGCCGGCTGCCTTTACTTTACTTGCTACCCGTGTTAACCTTGAAGTTATGGTCATAACAATTATATTTCCTTTAATTAACAATAATTATTTCTTATCTTAACTGCTGTTCTTTTCAGCGTACAGCAGGGAAAAAGAAAGAGGATGAAAAGAAGAACGATCAACCGAAACTTAAGCCAAGCAAAAATGTACCACATAAAGATATACCCCTGGAGCTACCAGCCTTTCCCCTCACGGCTAACATGCTGTTTCTGTCATTCATCTTGTGGTTCTGTTGAATTTACCACTGCAGGGATGGGTTTAGCCAACACAAGTCAGAGAACATAAAAAAGGTTTGTCTGTTTGTATATAAACTACAGATGAAGATTAATATTTATCTGCTGTCCTCCTCAGAAGTCGGCTCTGTGGCTAAGTCAATGCCAATGCTTCATAATGTCGGGGTGCCGGGTTCGATTCCAGCTGTGGGCCATGTGCCTTGTGTTGGTTTCGATGGTGGTATCAAGAAGCCGACCGTCCAAAAGCAATGGCAAACTACTAGACGTAAATTTGCCTAGAGAAACCACACAACAGCAAGAGGCTGCTGGGGTTGGTTCTGCAACATCCTGTAAAGGATAAGCAACTTACCATCCTCAGACACTGGTCTTTGCGTATCTGTTCTCTAACTTTGGCAATTTTTTATCATTATTATCAAATTGGGCACTTTGGCCCAGCTTTATCTTCAATCTTTTCCACACATTTTAAATCATAAACACCACTTCATGCACGAGATAAACATTGATCCTCAGAAACTCATCTCATGAACTGGACAGTCTCTGGAGCACTTTTCTGAAACAGAATTAATGTTGGTCCTTGTCTTCATGCTGCATATGTAACGATGCAACTTCTACTAGCTAAACAAAATGGCAGGTTATTTCTTTGCTGACCAGGTGGCATTAGTTTTGTAAGATCATAGATGAATGGTGTCTGCTTGAATGGCATGCTTTGCTTTAGAATGGCATCCTTGTTTTTGGCCGCAATAAACATTAGTCTCATTGTTTAAATGTCAGACTGCATATTTACCACTTTTAGACGGTGTGGGGCAGGTGGGTTGTAAACTTAAGGATCTTGCTAGTGCAGTCGCCACAAACTGTGAAGATATAATATTTTCATTTTTGGCCGCTGATTTAAAAAAAATGTCCATCCCTGAGGATCAAATCTGGCTCTTCAATAACTTGTCCGGCCACTCTCCATATTGGATGCACTACTGTGCTTACATTCTTGTTATATTATTTTTTTTTAAGAAGACAGAACTCTTTCTGTGATATCCATGTAGAATATAATAGATCCATTATAAACACAAGTGAATAACTTTTATTATTATAATAAACAAAATTACCAGATTGAGAACTATACAGTTGGAGACGCAGTGCCTTATCTCCTTCGAATGAGAAACTCCAAGAAAGAAGACTTTCCCATAGAATCAAAGACTTTACCTCCACTTGTAACAGGCATCACATCATCCCAGTTTTATCAGGTAAGTTTGTTCCATGAGTGCACCACATCATCCCAGTTTTATCAGGTAAGTTTGTTCCATGAGTGCATCACATCATCCAAGTTTTATCAGGTAAGTTTGTTCCATGGGTGCACCACATAATCCATTTTATCAGGTAAGTTTGTTCTACGGTTGCACCACATAATCCATTTTATCAGTCAAGTTTGTTATACGGGTACACCACATAATCCATTTAATCAGTTAAGTTTGTTCTACGGTTGCACCACATAATCCATTTTATCAGTTAAGTTTGTTCTACGGTTGCACCACATAATCCATTTTATCAGTCAAGTTTGTTACACGGTTACACCACATAATTCATTTTATCAGTTACATTTTTTTCACTAATGCACCACATAATCCATTTTATTAGTTAAGTTTGTTCTACGGTTGCAGCACATAATCTATTTTATCATTTAAGTTGGTTCCAAGGATGGAAACATCATCCCAGTTGTAATGTAATTTTGTTTCAGGGACACATCACATCATCCAAGTTTTGTCACATTTGTTCTAAGGATACACCATATAATCCTAGTTTTCTCTCTAATTTTGTTGCATGGATGCATACCATCCAATTTTTTTTTTTTCAAGTTTGTTCCTTGGATATTCCACACCATCCAGGTGTTATCATGTAAGTTTGTTTAAGGGATGCACATCATTCCAGTTTGGACAATTTTGTTCCTGTCATATCCATGGATGCAATAATATTGCCACTTCCATGGTGTGGATAAGTGCCACATCAACAGTTTGGATACATGGCCATATTTAGGTAAGACTGATCCATGGATAATTCTGCACATTTATATAAAAGGTCCTATCTCAGTTTCATGAGTATATAACTCAATATTACCAAGAGGGCACAATGCAACTTCTTTTGATGTTAAAAAAAAAAGTAGAAGAGTGTCTGTCTCCTCATTCAGAGAACAACGTATTTTGTCATCATTCAACAATGTCTCTTATTCTTCAGAATGATATCCTATCTCTTTAACCAAGACGGTGTTCCTGTCTTATCATTCATTACAATGTTCTGTCTTACCTTCCAGGACAGTGTTCCTGTCTTATCATTCATTACAATGTTCTGTCTTACCTTCCAAGACGGTGTTCCTGTCTTATCATTCATTACAATGTTCTGTCTTACCTTCCAAGACAGTGTTCCTGTCTTATCATTCATTACAATGTTCTGTCTTACCTTCCAAGACGGTGTTCCTGTCTTATCATTCATTACAATGTTCTGTCTTACCTTCCAAGACAGTGTTCCTGTGTGTTAATTCAAGAGAATGTTCTGTTGCATCATTCATGAGTTGCCATCTCATCATTAAAGACAGTGTTCTTATCTCATCATTCAAGACAAGTGTTCATGTATCATCATTTAAGACAATGCTTCTGTCTCATTATTCAAAACAATGTTCCTGTCTTATCATTAAAGATGATGTCCTGTCTCATCATCCAAGACAAAGTGTTTCAGTCTCATCATTCATAACAATGCCCTGTCTCATCATTCAAAACTACCTTCAGAAGAGACTCAAAGTATTATCATGAATGTTGAGACTGAACTACTACAACTGATTTTTTTAGTTCACTGGCTGGAAACTCCGCAAAACGTTCTGGCTGTTTGTCCATCTCTGCACTTTGGTCTTGTTCCAAAACTTGAGTGTTGTATGCACATCCGTTCAACAGATGTGATTCATTTGTATGCAGATTGTTGGTTTCTGGCCTCTCAGAAGGAAGCTCCCAATTAGTCGACTCTTATGAAATGCTTTGGGGTAGACAGTGGGTCTATTCTTGTTTTCCCCAACAGGGGATTGGATTACTGATATCAAATAAGCGAGACCTGTAAAACTGATGTGCACACAAAACTCAAGTCCTGAAATCAAATCAAAGTCTAGGAGTGGACAAACAACCAAGACTTTCAGTTTGAGTTGACAGCTGGTGAACATACAGAAGAAGACTAATTACTTACCATCATATAGCTAGTGCATCATGACGAGGGAATGGACCCATGAGGTCATCTGATTAACATTAAACTTTCTAGCCATATTTTATGTTGCACTTCTTGTCACCAGCTCAACCGAAGTCAGCCCTTATTTACGTCATCGGTTACCTTCAGTTTCAGGGTCTGGTACGACACATAGAAGAGGACCTCAGACCCATCCATCCAAACCTCAAGTTGATTGTCTATGATTTGGGTCAAAGTTCAAGAGCAAGACAACTGGTAATGCTTTGTGACAGCTCCTTATGTTTGAGTGTTTGATTGAGTTTGTAAATGTGCGTACTGTCTTATTCAAGGTGGCAGAATGTCATGTTGAGTCTGTTCTGATGTATCGGTGTGGATCCTGGATGTGGACATGGATGATTTGTTGTGAATCCTGACATATGAGTTGTGAATCTTGTAAAGTAAAGCTTGAAGGCCAGAGAATTGTGGTTTTATCACAAATACCTTGGACTGTCATATTACCAACAAATACATCAGATTGGGGGTGGGGGCTTCTAATAAAGACAGATAATTATTTATACTCAAATATACAAAAGAAACAGGAGTTTCCGTGGTCGAGCAGCTAGACGCTTGCCACGGATCGAAAGGTCGTGGGTTTGCTCCCTGGTGGAGCCCGACTATTTTCAAAAATGACCTTGGCTTCCAGGTCAGCCCAGACTTGAGTGGGTACCGGGTGCAGTCCTGGGAAGTAAAGGCGGCCGGCATGATGCTGACCACATCACCCATCTTGTTCCGATTGGTCTATAAAAATATAGGTCGAGCCCTATATGCCTAAAAGCGTGGAAAAGGGTCCTTTACTTTTTACTTTACTTATACAAAAGAAACAGTTGTGACCCAAAGGTCTGGAGTGCAAACCTGCATCAAGACTTTACAAAAAATGACTCTGGCTTATAGGTTGACCCACTTTAGAGGGGGTAGAAGGTAATATCCTGGGACTGGTATGATGTTGACTACATCACCTAGAAGTGCCAATTGTTCTATGAAATTATAGATCTGGCACCATATGCTCAGTGTGATAGAAGAGACAGTGTACTTTGGTCAAGTGACCAGAAGAGAGTTATCAATGACTAGAAAGATCGGAAGGTGGAAGAGTCAGCGGCAGGCGGATAGACAGAAATGATAGTTAAGATGGTGGCATGTGGAAAAGACAGCGGCAGGCGGATAGACAGAAATGATAGTTAAGAGTGGATAATGAACAAATCAGGCCAACTCCTCCACTTCTTCTTCTCCATGTTCACCAACTGTAATCTCAAGCGGAAAGTTCTGGTTGTTTGTCTAACTCTGGCTTTAGTCTTGTTCCATATGTTGAGTTTTGCATGTACAGGCGGATAGCCAGATGCACTTCGACTCTTGTCGACTTTGTAAGAAACAGTCCTAATTAGTAGTTTTTGATGACATGCTTATCTTATAGGGAGGCACTGGGTCTATTCCCTCCACCCCCACACAAATTGAGACCTGGGACCAATAAGTGGAAATGAAAATTAACCTCATCTCCCAAAGTGAGACTGTACTTTAAGTGTGGCATTATAAACCTTTTAAAACAGTAATATGGAAAAACATAAAGGAATCAATGAAAATGTAACAATATGAATACAAAGGACAAAGAGAGATTCAAAGCACTGAGAAATTTGTGGCATTCAAGAGAAATTAAATCAGGTAGCAAATATGGAATTCTTAACTCTAACGTCAAAAACCACAACATACTTTCTCAGCCGCCTTTTCAAGGGTGGAGACTGAAGTAGTATTATGGAGCACAAATAAGCACGACAGTAAAACAATTGCTAATAAATTACAAACATAAAATGATTTCTAATAAATTACAACCAGATAAAATGATTACTAATAAATTACAACCAGATAAAATGATTATTAATAAATTACAAAGATTCACTAACTGGTGCCTGTGCCAGGACTATTTTCTGCCAAGGACTTGCTACAATACGGTTAAAGTAACAAACCTGTGTTACTGAAAATGTGAAATGTAATTTGAATAAACGGTTTGGCTTCTTCTCCCTACAGCTGCATCAATACTGTAACTGCGAAGTGAGAGACTTCCACTTTGAGAGATTTCCTGGCCATGTTTCAACAGTTTCCAACTTCGCCTGGCGCCCTATAATCATCCATCAGATACTAGACGAGTATGGATCTGTCCTGTATGTCGAGCCCACAACGAGGCTCAAAAGTCCGAATTCACTCAACTACCTGCGTATGCGTGGTTTAAAGAGCTATTTTGTGTGGGATCCCCTCACATTTACCTCGTTGGTTGCTTACACCGACCCGGACATGTTTGAGTACTTTAATGAAAGCAGGTGTGCGTTCAAAGACTGCAGCTTGATTTCATCAGAAGCAGTGGCCGTGTACAGAACGGAGGCAACCTGGGTGGAACTTATGAGGCCTTGGTTGGTGTGTGCCTTAAATGAGCAATGCATCGCTCCAACAAATGCAAGATACTCCGGCTGCATCGAAATTCGACACCCTCACACAACCGGCTGTCACAGATACGATATGTCAGCCCTCAGTATTATCCTCAACCGTGCTGTCCAGTACACGATAGATTCGGAGCAGATGGTATCATTCAGATTAACATACACAGACCTAGAAGAGGTTACCTACTTTCCTGAACAACCCTGGGCACATACGCAGCTGTTTCTGCTCTTAGTGACACCCCTGTTGTTTGTTTTAGTACATAAAATGTTTTGTAAAAAGAGACGAACCTGTAGGTTATAAATTGCTGAAATTTAGTCAATAATTATTACATATTCATATTTTATGAACTTATTGTTGCTTATAATATTTGGAGCCCAACTGAACTCTTCCTTCTTCTTCACGTTTATAGCTGTAACTCTGGCAGAAAGTCCTAGTTGTTTGTTCACTTCTAGATCTTGTTCCAGGATTGAGTTTTGTGTGCACATCAGTTTTACAGATATGCTTTACTGTCTCAAAGAGTCAGATGGACAAACTAGATCATTTACAGAACACAGCTATGCGGGTCATTCTGTGTTACACCAGAGACACCCCAGTGGTGTGTATGTGATACATCCTTGGTTTGCCGACTGTTGCAGGTAGGCACAAGCTGCTGCAGGCCAAGTCATATCTCAGAGTAGCTGCAGACACAGATAACTCTTTGCACAAAGCTCTGGGCGCAGTTAAGTGTCACCGGCTGATAAGAGGAAAGTCATGGATGACTCAGACAGAAGACCCAGACAGGTCTGCAACCTGAAGGAACATTGGGCAAGGAGAGGAATAGATCAGAGTGCCAGCGGAACAGAATTGTGTCGAGTCATAATCACATTGAGCAGGGAGTGGCCAACAGGTGCCATGGAGATGAAAATTCAGCAATTAATTCAAGATAATGCTCCTTCAGAGGATATGATTATTTATACAGACAGTTCAGTATCAAGAGGCAAAAGAAGTGCTTGTTTTTTTTTGGGCAAAAGCCAGTTTGGTGCAGGAGAGCCTAGCATATACCACAATATCCAGATTTAAGAATGGAGGCGGAGGCGGTCACTGCAGCTTTCCGCTGGCTGGAGAACACAACACATATCGTCATTGTTACTGACTCAGAAAGCATGTTGAGGAAGGTAAGGACAGGCATGCCTCGTGCTGAGTGGCATGCTTCGCTTCAAAGGTCACGGGTGAGGAGCATTGTCTGGATTTTTTTCTCTGGGGTCCTGGAGTGCTAGGAAACAAACAAGCAGACAGACTGGCTGTGCACAACTTGGCAAAATGCTGATACTTGATATGGCAGACGTGGTTAGGGCCTTGTGGAAGACAGTGTACAAGACGGAAGAGCAAATGGATCATCAGTCTGGTGAGAGTGATGCAGCGGGGATTGGCGAAGGGATCTGGTCGATACTCGACTCTCAGAGGAAAGGCAGGATGTACGTATAATCAGAATGCTGTTGGCACCATTAGTATTAGAACTCTGCGCTGGCTGCTGAAAATGTGGTCGGAGCATTTATGGGAATGCCCCAAGTCCTGAATGTCGGTTTTGTAATTGACCCAACTCAGATCTGGTTTAATTGTATGCAGGCTGTTGGTACCTTGCCTCTCAGCCAGATGCATTCTGACTTGGCAGGAAACCTAGATCCTATCTATATTTGCCAAACCCTCTGGCTGAGAAAATGTTGCTAGGGCGACTACAGAGAGGTGTACACATGTCCAGACCAGGGTGTTCGGGGTCTTAGTTTACTACCGCATACGGTTCAGTTCCTGTGCATCCCCAGATCTGATCAGTGGCATGGAAGTCACCATTTATTAGTAACTAAAGTCATGCTTTTCTCAACTTCTGCTCCAATCACTTGTTGCATCAACCCATTCTACTACAGTTATCGTCTGTTGTTTATAGTTAACAGAAATACTGTAGAGGCATTAAAACTGCCTGTATTTAGCACTTCTATGTATGGTGCATGCTTGGGGGTCTTTGAGCCTGAGGATTTAAGGCTACATGGCTTGTGGTGACGCCACAGACTGATCAAGTCAAGATTTTATTTTCACCTCCTACACTAAAAATCCACGATTCACACCCAGATCACCTGCACGAGAACCAGCATTAACAGTTCAGCCAGCTGCTCCTCATTATTAAGCAATATCTACTTCATCTAGAACTAGTTACAGTAATTATTGTCAGGGGTTAAGGAAAGGAGTTCAGCTTTCCCACATACACGGGTGTGTTTCTTTGCGCTTCTTTCTAAGCATTTCTCCCACATCCCTGTTCCACCTCTTTTGTTATGGACCAAACATTACGTATGCCCCTTATATTATGTATGCCCCTTCCATTCAATATTTTCATGAGTTGCTGTAACACTTTCAGCTCTCATCTCAAAACTCGTTTCCTTGTTTGGCCACACCCATCGCAAACATGACATCTGCATTGCCTGCAGTTTCTTTATCATCCTATTTCTCACTGTCCAGTGATCACATCCACATAGATGAACAAGCCACACAACTTATCAGTAAGCAGATATCGTTTTGGTAGATGGTGTTATTTATTCCTGAGTAATTAGTATGTATTCAGGCCATACAAGATTTGTGCGAGACCCATAACAAATTCCAGGGATCAAGAGATGAGGAAGACTCAGGACGCACACTGAGAAAATCTGTTAGCAAAATAACTAGAATCTCCTTGTATTGGAACTCAGTGTAAAAGGGATAAAGGCAGGCCAAAAACAAAGAATAAAAATGATATGGAAGACACTACATGAGTAGCACATGTACAGGGCAACCTGGCACAAGGGCAATGTTTAAACCAGTGTTTCTCAACCTTTGTGTCATGACCCACCAAGCCTTTCTAAAATTCTTACCCACCCCCATTGAGAAACACTGGTTTATATCCGGCCCAAGCTACTGGTCACTCCATAACCATTTCGTGGTGCCCCAGTATAACAGTGCTAGTTGTGCCCCAGTATAACAGTGCTAGTGGTGCCCCAGTATAACAGTGCTAGTGGTGCCCCAGTATAACAGTGCTATACGGCTGAACAGGGTTTCTTGTCCTTGAGATGGCAATCCTACAGGCTGCAATCTTTGGTCAAAAGTAAACTCATAAGGAAGATAGGTCAGAATTATGCCTCACATGTAGTCTGAGATTATGTCAAAGTCAGCAATACTGTCTCCACATTTGTCATTTTTCTGTGTCAATAGACTGAAATGAGGTCTAAGTCAGTTATACTGTCTCCATATTTGTCACTTTTCTGTGTCAATAGACCGAGATACATAGGTCAGTAATATGTTCCCCAGTTTTGATGTCATTGTCAACAAACTGATTAAATCTACAATACAAATATGTTCCCCAGTTTTGATATGTCATTGTCAACAAACTGATTACATCTACAATACAAATATGTTCCCCAGTTTTGATATGTCATTGTCAACAAACTGATTACATCTACAATACAAATATGTTCCCCAGTTTTGATATGTCATTGTCAACAAACTGATTACATCTACAATACAAATATGTTTCCCAGTTTTGATGTCATTGTCAACAAACTGATTAAATCTACAATACAAATATGTTTCCCAGTTTTGATATGTCATTGTCAACAAACTGATTACATCTACAATACAAATATGTTCCCCAGTTTTGATATGTCATTGTCAACAAACTGATTACATCTACAATACAAATATGTTTCCCAGTTTTGATGTCATTGTCAACAAACTGATTAAATCTACAATACAAATATGTTTCCCAGTTTTGATATGTCATTGTCAACAAACTGATTACATCTACAATACAAATATGTTTCCCAGTTTTGATGTCATTGTCAACAAACTGATTAAATCTACAATACAAATATGTTTCCCAGTTTTGATATGTCATTGTCAACAAACTGATTACATCTACAATACAAATATGTTTCCCAGTTTTGATATGTCATTGTCAACAAACTGATTACATCTACAAAAAAAATATTTTCTCCAGTTTTGACTTGTCACTGCTATCAAACCACACCCAATCCAGAAGCAGAGACATTTTATCAACTTCACGCACACTCCACGGTAAAGCAGAAAAGAGCAATGGTTAGTAATTTAATTTTATTAAATTAAACAACACACTCATTCAGTTCACGATCCCTGAGTTTCTTTCAAACAGCTACAACAAAAAAGTTAACTATCCAACTGCTATAAGAGAGTAAATAAACATGCAAAAACAGGGTCAAGTATTTGGAAAAAAAATTACCAGAATTATGAATGTACCATAAGTAAGGAACAAGCAGACGTTCTGGTCGGCTTCACAAGACAGATTCTGATGACACATCACATGTGTGAAGACCATCTCTAATCTTTCAACCTGTCAGGACCATGTTCAGCATGTACATCATATGTTCTGATGTAACAAAACAGGAATACATTTGACGTATGTTTAGGAAAAAATGTTTAAAAAAAAACAAAACAAAAAAACTCTGCAGACATGATAACGTGATATGTGTGGATTAAAGGTTAAACTGTGACATGTGCTACATCTTGATTTTCAAGAAGCTTTAACTGCGATGTGCGTGTGTGTCATTTGTTTCAAAATGAAATAATAAACTGCAATTCAATATGCAGGCCATAGCGATCGATAAAAGTAAAAAAGAAAAAAGTAATCCACTGCCTTCCTGGATTACCTGAAAACACTAAAAGCTACTCTACATAGTAATTAGAAAAGGAATAATGGAAGCATGAATAAATGAGTATGCACCTCTAGAAACTTTCCCCACTGGTTATCTCTGGCTACAGCTAATTCTGAAAGTTCAAGCACAACACTGCGGTATTCCTGCAAACAATCTCCTGGGCAGAAGCAGCAACATTATTATTAATCACATAATCTCAGGCAGCTCAGGCTGCATGTCTGAAAGCACAAGTGAAGGCAATGCACCTGGTTATGTTTACTGGCTATCCACCCGGTTCATGTGTTGTAAAAGCTCAATCACCCGGTTACTGTATCCCCATTCATTGTCATACCTGCAAGTAAAGAAACATACTTATCTCAATATAAGACACTACTTTCTGAAATAGCGGAAGGATGACAGACAAACTAGCTCAAACACAGACAAATTACAGACTGAGTATAATCACAGGTGTGAAGTTAATGCCAGTGCAGTATGAAGGGGATAGCCCATACCTCACAATGGGTACCAGCAGACTCTCTGCTGGTTTTATGGAACTTTATGCACGACTCCTGCTATTGTTTGGCTGTGCATTTATGGAAGTCTCCTTGAATGGCAGAAAAGGCCCCTGCCTTTCCTTGAGGGCTGACCTTTCTACTCACGGACACCCTGGATGGGGTCTCCAGGTACAACATCCGTAGATAAGGTGACAAAAAGAACACCAAATAAATAAGGCCTCAACATGTCCCGGTCCCAGGAAACTATCTGGGAAGTTAAACCGACAAACAAATGCTCTATGAAGTCAGATGTGTCGGTTGAAAGGTGCAAATATTGCAGCCCTGCTGTAAACAGGCAAAACATAATTATGCCACTCAGACGAATGAAAAGAAGAAATGTCTACAATATCCCAAAAAACTAGCCTGACAAGTTAACCCCAATAAAGTCAGATGTGCAATTGCACAACTAGATTTTTAAAAAAAAAAGGTGTTTGTAAGATAATACTAGGGTAAAACACAAGACAATAAATGGCTAAAATGCCACAGCAAACAATAATAGTGTGGAGGACTGTCTCAGACATGACTGGCCCAACACAAGACTGGGAGCCGCAGACAAATATGACCACCAAGGCAACAGGCCATGGACTATCAGAAGAAGCAAACACAGCCACCTCAGTGGACCTGCTCAGCTCATGGGTGGTTTTATGGAGATCCCTAGAGATCATCTGTGGAGCCTACATCTGTGCATAGTTTATTGTTGCTCTTTTCTCTTGAGTGCTGAGTGTTGGTCAGATCGGCAATTTTCTCCATCGAGACCAAAACGACCAGTTTGCACGCATGCACTGTTCACTTGCTCCCAAAGGGCCTTGACCATTTCTAGTCTGACGTGTGCACAGGATCAGGCAAACATGTTTTTTTTAGAATTATTATCTTGTCAGCTAAAACCTAAGAAGGACAGACCACAAACCACAAGAGAAAACATCAGCAGCTCGCGCAGTCTCAAGTTACTCACCAGGAAACCAGTTTCACAAAGTTGCTGTTTAGAGCAATACCAGCATTGGCATCAAAAATGGAACTGCGAGGGTCTCCCAGAAAGTCCTGGGACACGACATCATCCTCCGTGTAGCCTAGGATACCTCTCAGGTAAGTCTCTGAGGCCTCTTTAATGACCCGCTTGATGTCTTCATACGAAGCCTGAAATGGAGATAAATTATTGATGCAACAAAGTTAAGAACCTGCCACATACAAGCTCTTTTTGTCTGCACACACCTGGACAAAGTCTACTATCAGTCAATATATACAGAATTCATAAAGTGTCAGTCTTGTTAAAGAAAAGTTCAAAAGGAGGTGTGCAATAGATGAGATGCTTTCTGTTGTAGACAGGTCTCTTGCATAGTGAAGCCGTCACAATTAACAGCTTTACACCAATGTCAGTTATCTTTACTTATTTCTATCATTAAAAATATCAATTGAGCTCACAGAATAATTAATTAGCATATATAAGATCTGCTTTGCCCAACAACAGAACTTTCAACAAGAATTGCAAAACCAGACAAAGTGTTTGTCTTATCGCCTTCTTTACTGAGATCTGGCAAACAATTAACAGAAATGTAACCACTGTCAGCTACTTCATGCAAACATGAGCAGCAGAACTAGTCGGCTTCACAAAACCACAATCAGGCTGGATGTTGTTGGTGACACATGTCTATAGTGTCTGTCTTCAGGGCCAAGCCTTGAGACACTGTCACCACCAACCTGGTCTGTGAACGGATAGCAGAGGTTACCTGAAGTCAGCACCAAACAACACACAGCATGTGCGGCTGAATTAACTCATACGGCACCAGTCAACAAATGATTATGCTTGTAGATTCCATGTTGAGTCAGAGCATAGACCACCCCCCCTCCCACAGGGTGGTGCGTTCAGTTCCTGTGTATGTAGCATACCTTTGATTGTTTAGTTATCATTACACCAAATAGGACTCAGCTATGGCCTTCTGGGACTGACAGAGTTCAGATTAATGCGTCGGAGAACTAAGCATGCAAATCAGTGCCGAGTGTAAAACGGCATCAACTAGGATAACAAATTCCTAACTGTGGATTTTTCTAGCATACAAAAAAACACTCTGCTAATGGATGCACACACACAAATAATGAATGAAACAAATGCTAATTTCAATCACTGATAGTAAACAATAAGACTACAAAAAAACATACCCCCTTCTCCAGCCGGACAGTGAGGTCAACCACGGACACGTCCGGAGTTGGGACACGGAAAGCCATGCCGGTCAGTTTGCTTTGGGTGACAGAAAGGTCAAGGTTAAACAGTGGACATGCTTGGGAGAAGACTGGTGACTCTGCAGTGTACTACTTGCTACCAGGCCTCATCATGAGTCACAAGTAAGTGATTAGCTTCCTTCACAAACATCAGCTTCCACTGTATGAAGTATGGTCTATCTCTCAGTTAAAGAACCCATTCAGTATCATCTCCCCTGCCATCCTTTCTATCTTTTTAATACTTCAACATACTGTTGACTGTATCCTTTAGCCCAGCTCTTCACACAATAACAATCAAAAATGATCATTGCTTTGTCCATCCTTGCATCTCTGTGAACCTCTTGAAGGCCTTGACTGTTTTTAGGTATGCAGAATAACTTTAACAGCATGCAAGCAGCAAGAGACTTCAACCAACAAGCAAATTTCTATGAAAGTTTGTTTTAAATAACACAAGCCCACTATTGAGTACAGGTTAATTAGCTGGTTATTAGTGTTATTTTCAATATGGTTTCTAAATGTTAATGCATATGAGTATACAGACGTTACTAAGGTTCAACAATGAGAGGCCAGTGGTACAGCAACTGGGCCAAACTACCACAGCAAACACCATTCTTCATGCAATCACAAACTTATGAAACTGTTAGAGGAAGTATAACTTTGCATGTCTCTGTGTCAACAACCCTAGCTCCAGTTCCTAGCAGAGAGCCAACTTTAATTATGACCACATGCTCTGGAAGGAGCTTCACATAAGCAACTCACCAAATCTCAACTAATGCAAATATTTTTAACCAGTAAAGGGTTGTGGCATTAGGAAGGTTGAGAGCCATTGATCTAGTAGGTTAAAGGAAAGCAGGGAAATGAATGCTGGGACTTCTTCGCATTCACCAGCTTTAAACATTGGCAAAAGGTTCTGGTTGTTTGTCCACTTCTGGTTCCTTGCGTCTTAGGCAGATGTATTCTGGCTTCAAAGGAAGCTCCTGTTTAGTTGAATCTTACGTCTTGCTTTCTGGGCAGACAGGGGCTCTATTCTCGTTTACCTACACTAAGAAGTACTGGGATCCAATCAGCCCTTGCCAAAAAGTACTCACAGCTCAAGAGATGGCTTACTGAAGAGTGAGACACAAGTCAGACCTTGCCAAAAAGTACTCACAGCTCAAGAGATGTGTTGTTCAACAGTGTAGAAGAACTTACTTATTGACCGCTGGAATCACCTTGCCCACAGCCTTGGCTGCCCCTGTAGAGGAGGGGATGATGTTCTGGGAAGCTCCTCGTCCTCCACGCCAGTCCTAGGTCATAGAGATATTCAGCAGTTTAACATCCACTCATCAGTCGGGTAATGTATAGAATAGTTGAGATACCCTGTAAATGAGTATGGTCTTCTAAGAAGAGTTAATGCAACCAGAAAACTGACTAGGTCCTTAGCCTTGGAAGGCAGCTGATCTAGGAGCAAGCTTCGTCAGACAAAGCAGTTCTGAGATCTGGCAGCTTTTGCATATGCTGTGTTTCAAATGTATTGGTGTTATAATTTTTAACCCCTATTGGTGTTATAATTTTTAACCCCTATTAGTGTTATAATTTTTAACCCCTATTGGTGTTATAATTTCTCCGGAGTGGACAAACATGTAGGGTTCACAGGATGTCATGGACTGCACTGCACAGAAGTTAAAAAATCAGGAAGGGACAGAGAACAAAAGGAAGACAGACAGGTAAGGGGCTAAATGTCTGAGAAGAAACATCTGATAAGTAATGCCAACAAAAGTCCAGAAATCTCATGTACCTGATAAAGATTCCTCTTAATGCAAGCAGGTTTTGCTAGCCACACACAGTGAGTAATTAGCATTTACATAATTTTTTGTGTGTTTAATGAATCTGAACGCAACAGGGATGGCATCCCATTTCGTGAACAGCTTGTTTTTAGACATCATAAAGTGAATTCAGAAAGCTAAAGCCTGGCAGAGAGGGAAGCAAAGAGAGATGGAAGTTGTTGGCATAAACAAAAAAGTGCATGCTGAAATGGGCTGGTCTTATATCGTCTATACACAAGACGACTTTGATTGAACAGACCATACTGTATGTAATGACACATGCAGAGGAATCTAGGAAAGCATTAAGTAACAGAAGTAGAGGAATGCAAGAAAGCATTAAGTAACAGGGGTGGAGGAATGTAGGAAAGGATTAAGTAACAGAGGTAGAGGAACGTAGAAAAAGCCTAACAAGGGTAGAGGAGAACAGATGACAGATGTGGAAATACTAAAAAAGTTTGGACCAATACAAGTCACTCAAATTCATCAAAATATCAGATGACAGAGATGACTGCTGAAGACCAGACATCTGTAGAACACTATCAATTCTAAGATAGCGACTAAGAAGGAAAAAACTGAAGAAAAGATGGGCTACCTTGTTGCTGGGTCCATCGACAGTCTTCTGGGTGGCGGTGGTTGCGTGTACGGTTGTCATCAGTCCCTCGACAATCCCAAACTTGTCGTTGATGACCTTCACCAGAGGAGCCAGGCAGTTGGTGGTGCAGGAGGCATTGCTGACCACGGTCATGTCTTTGGAATATTTATCTTCATTGACGCCCATCACAAACATGGGAGCGTCAGCAGAAGGCGCAGATATGACAACCTTGCTGGCGCCTCCGCTTTTGATGTGCACCTGGTGGTTAGATCCACTGGGTTAAAGGTCATGTAAAAAAGTCTAAAATGAAGCTGACTCTATACAATATACAGTACATAAACGAATCCTGCATTCTAAGTCTGTGTGCTCCCAGTGTGTATTCTAGTTCTGTGTGTTCCTGGGTGTGTTCTAGTTTCGTGTGCTCCCGGGGTGTGTTCTAGTTGAGTAAGCTCCCAGCATGTGTTCTGAGTGTGCTCCCGGGGTGTGTTCTAGTTGAGTAAGCTCCCAGCATGTGTTCTGAGTGTGCTCCCGGGGTGTGTTCTAGTTCTGTGTGCTCCCGGGGTGTGTTTTTGGTCTGTGTGCTCACAGGGTGTGTTCTAGTGCTCTTTTGTGTTGAGAGAAGAAAGAGGACAAGAAGTAGAAAGAAACTTGAAAATGTGTGAAGAAATGTATAAATGGCATAGACAAAAACAAAAAGTGGAGACAGGAGGGTTTATAGTAAATAGCACACACACACAGATAGATAGATAGATAGATAGAGAGAGAGAGAGAGAGAGAGAGAGAGAGAGAGAGAGAGAGAGAGAGAGAGAGAGAGAGAGGCACCTGGAGTGTGTCAGATGGGGTTTCATGCCCTGCAGATGGATATTAAAGGCAGCAGCAGAAAAGGAAAAATGGTACAACTCTTCTTCTCCGTCTACCCTACAAGGACAGTCGGCACATTGTGGTTTAATGCAAGGCTGTGACATCTGCACAGATTTAGCCAACACATAATTAGTCACCTTTAATGAATGCTTGTATTTTTATTTTCTTCAAAACTGGGCCTCAGAACCCATAGAGGCAAGACACCATTTTAGTTACTGGTAGCTTCACAATATTAACCCTTTTACTCCGGGAACATTAAAAAGTCATGATCCCGTTGAAATTCCAGAGAAAATCAATTAAAAACCCAACAAGTGTACACAGGCCACTATTGTGTTTTTCAAAAATGCATTTATTAAAATCTAAAGGGGGAAAAACCTTGAAATACACAAAAATAATTGAAATGTAATCAATAAACAGATGAATCATAATGGAATGCATCTCTCAGGGCAGTAAAAACTAAAACTGTATAAGGTGACTCATGCCGCAACCTGCCAGTGAGGCCTATGGCAAAATTTGACATCCACCTGCTCCAAAATAAGTCATTTAACTCAACCCCCCCCCCCCCATGCTATTTTATGAAATGGACCCGCCCGAAAGTGTTGGTTTTCAGCTTTCTGGGCGAAGAGGTTAAAGACTAAAACAAGGCTTTTATTGCTTTCACCTAAAAACAAACGTGGACTTTCCAGCAGTATACTTACGGTGGCTTTATCTATGGTTGTGAAAACACCAGTGGACTCTACAATGTAGTTGGCCCCTGTTGATTTCCAGTCGATGGCACTTGGATCACGCCTGCAACATCCCATAAAAACAAGATATCTTCAGCTGTCAACACTGTTGCTGAATACAATCGCAACAACCTCATCTCTTATAACTGCCTTCTCTATCACGATCACAGCAACCTCATCTCTTATAACTGCCTTCTCTATCACACTGACAGCAACCTCATCTCTTATAACTGCCTTCTCTATCACACTCACAGCAACCTCATCTCTTATAAATACTGCCTTCTCTATCACACACACAAACGAAAAACACACAGAATATTTATCACAGTCCCTTGTGGAAAGACTGACAAACTGCTGTCTCAGCAAATCTAGCATACACTCGCATTAAAAGCATATGGTAGCCATCCGAAGTGCTAACACAAACAGTCAGACATTAGAAATGCAGTTCATCATTGATGGTAGCAGAAGTCATTAAAATTTGAAACAATGGCCCCCACCAATACTGCGACAACCGGCATCGCGCCATTTTCTGAATCTACAAATCACACCACCACGTTGGTCAGTCTAAAAACATTCCAAATGAAATCTGCAGCTCAGCTCACAGTGTCACGCCATGCACTCAACTCAGAAGCTGTGCAATGAAACAATATACTTCCAGTCTACAAATGGAGCAAAAAAGCAACGGCCAGTCTGGCAGAAGCAAAAATTTATGCCTCGGCTCAAAACAGTGGCAGTGCCTAGTGTTCATTTGGACCTGAAGCATTATGTGAGGGTTAATAAACTATCACCCCACCAGTGCCCTACAATTAGCTGGGAAAGAGATTTAGGACATTACATCCACCAGCAAGCCTCGCCCCAACAACGACCCGACTGCCTTGGTTAATGACTGTTCACCCAACAGCCATGCAGTTCTTTGGCACGAAGGAGACACCTTGAACTTGGGTTTCGGACTGCCTACACGAAGATATATGTGGTGTCCCGTAGCCAACATACTATCTCACTGTATTACTAAAATTCAGCATGCATTCTCAAACGCGCAGTAGTTAACACACACACTCATGACCTGCCACCCGCTTGCTTGCTGGTGCAGCACACACGACTACATATTTAAATAAGTATATATATATATATATATATATATCGGGAGAGAGTAAGACAAATGAAGAATCATGCCGAATGACCACAAATATGTAAGACACTGACACAGGGAATTCCCTATGCACACAAGGTCGGCATGACTGGCTCCAAGAAGGGGACAGTAAATTCAAATGGCTCAGTCAGATCACCCTCACACCAACCTCATCTCTTATAACTGCCTTCTCCATCACAATCACAACAATGAATGTTCATCCCCTAAATCTAGCAGTTCCCCCCTAACTGTTTCAAGATGACAGGATCCCCTCCCCCACCCCAAATGTCTTAGAAATTTGGTGGAAGAAGCGGAAGCTGTTTGGGACAGACAGAAAAGCAGGCATGTATTTAATCATGTATTGTTTTTTAGACTGGTCAGCGCTAGCTTCCTGCTGGCCAGGTAGTCATCTGCTTAAATAGCCTCTCAGGCCGGATTTGTTTTTCTAAAAAAAAATATTTCCAGGTCGACGCAGCCTAAAATGCATATCAGGAAAATTCTTATAGAGGTAAAGGCAGCCTGAAGACTTGTGAAATGGTATCAGAGCTGATAGGACACCCAGTAGGCAACATAAATTATAAAAATAGTAATTAAATAAATGAACCAGCGTGTGAACAGAATAAAATTATTTGCCAAGTTGATCAGTATGTTTAAAACTAATAAGATGATTGGTCAGATTTAAAAACTTTGAGAAAACACAACATTACAAAATTTTAAAAAAAAATCACTGCTTTTTTTAATATTAAGAAACCATGAGTCTTAACCCTTTGGCTTGATACTATGGATATCGCAACCCTTTGGCCTCGATTCCATGATAAATATTGTAAATCTGGGAGAAATGAGTCTTTATTGCCTCCCCCTGGCATGAAAAGGATCAGTTTAATCATATACTCCTTTTGAACAATCAGATGATTAATTTAAAATGTTTAAACAATAAGATAAATCAGGTTTCTGCTTAAACAATGAGATAAATCAATCTGTTTAAAGAATCCTCTGAGTGCATATCTGTTCAAACAACAGATGAATAATTTATTTGTAACAATCGGTTGACCCACTGACTCATTCAAACACGAGTGGGCGGAATCACCTACTCTGTAAAGACAGTGATCAAATGTCCATCAACTTCTAGTTTCCCGTTGTTCTTGGTCACGTTGCCCTTGTAGCGACCGTGTGTGGAGTCATACTTGAACATGTATACCTGCAGAAATAAGCGACACTTCAGTAAAACAAGTCAACAATCAATTGTCCAAATAAGAAACAGATGGCTATTGAAAAAGAAATGTCATATTTGTTTCTAAGCATCAATCATTGTGGAAGGTCTTTCTTTTGTAATCACTCTCTACAGCAGCTTTATTCCCAACTGTCATTCCTAATGGTTTCAATCCTCCTCCTCCCCCCCTGCACAGACTGAGAGCCCGGTTCTGCACAATGTTCAGAGATGCTAGGGTTTATCAATGCCTGAGGGAACTTTGTATTCCATTTCTGACCAAACATGGCTGTGATAAACAGGGTATAATGTTGTTTATCTGTCGCTAAGTGTTGCTAGCAAGCCAACTCTAGACTTGGACATGGGGGGGGGGGAAGAACACCTGCAGCTCCCATTACAAGCATGTCATGAAAGTCTACTAATAAGGTTTGTCTGTTTCAAAGACGGAGTGCACCTGCCTACAAAAACTCAGTTTCGGAACAAGACCAAAGTCTAGAAGTGTAAGAACAACCAAAACTTTCTGCAGTTTACAGCTGGTGAATGCTAAGAAGAAAAAGAGTTAAAATACCCATCTTTTGAGTTCTGTCAAACCTCTCTAATAAGGACAGTCCCTCTCCCCAACAACTTCAATAATGCTAAGACCACGAACGTATCAGGAGTATGCTTACCATGTAATCAAGGTCAATAAAAGGGTCATTGACGGCCACAACATTCACGCCCTTTGCCAAGGCAGCTCGCAAGACCAGGCGTCCAATACGTCCAAATCTACAAAAAAAAAATAAGCAAACAATGTTAACAAAACCTGTGTACTTGATGAACAGAAGCATGGACAAAGAATAAAACTTCACAGTAATATTTCCTCAGGGCAACTGCCGTGGTGTAGCGGCTAGACGCTAGATTCCTTTTCACATTTAATACTGGTTGTAAACTTCGGTAGAAAGTTCTGGTTGTTTGTCCACCTCTGGACCTTAGTCATGCTCCAAGACCCGAGTTGTGTGCAGATATGTGGGTAGTAGATAAGACAGAGAAAGCTAATAGTGTCTTTCCCAACCCAATCAAGGTAGAGGATAAAAGAAAGCAGATTATGGCCAACTTAATCCATGTAATCAAGATTTTTCCTTTCAAAAAAAAAGCACCAATAAGTTTTTCTCAATGTATTATTCATAAAAGAATCTTTAAGTGATAACATTTAGAGAGAAAAAAATAGCCTGAAAATTATAAAGTGTATTAATATTTACCCATTGATTCCAACTCTGAAGTCAGGCATTTTGTTTATGTGTCTGAAAGGGAAGAAGAAAAACAAAACGATAATAAATATCAACAAGTTGAACATTATTAATATTTTGATTATCATTTCTGTAGGGACCACAGTTTCGGAAATTTGCTATCTTTTCGACAATTTCCGTTACCATAGAAACCGTTTAAAACTTGTTTCGGAAATGTCGGCTGGGGTTTCGAGATGGGTCCTAATCTCTCATGAAATTTTGCCATTGGTGTGATTTTCACCCACTCTAAATAGCTGAAAACGGCGGGAAGGAACCCGATTAACAGCGCATGTCTACGACAGCCGGACATTCTCTGTTTTTCTGTTAGTCTATCAGTTTGATTGAAAATAGCGGTAAATTCGAGGTTGGCTTTAGGCTTAAACATTACCAGTTGTGGTAATGCTAGTTACAATTGAATTCTCCGTCCAATTTTACATTTGCATATTAAATTTTTTTTCCCGACTCTGGCTGTTTAGATTTACAGTGACATTTTTTAGGCAATCGCATGCGGCTGAGTGAGCTGAGTCTCACTGCCTGCCATCTTGTCCAATGACAGTCCAATGTCAACAAAGCCGATACAGAACTGCGCAGTAGGTTGCGCAGTAAAAAACTTCTTGTTTCTGGGTCACAAGTTTTAGCGGCTGTTTCTTACATCTCATCTCCACAAAAACCTACATATCTCAGCTCAGAAATGACATACAAGCCTAAATGAGGTACCATTGGAAAGAGATTGTTTACAGCTATCTAACTGTGCTGGTTTTATTGGTGTAGAGGGCATTTTAAAAATTTGACTGAAGTAGCTAATTTCTGCACTTTTGATAAATCAAATCCTGTTGGAGAACATAAGAAGATCAGATGTGCAGAAGGCAGACTACCCATCCCAGTCAGCATGGCTCTGGAAGATGAAGAACTAGTCAATATGAATGTAAAGAAAGTGTACTACAACAATCACTGAAGTAAACATTTGTTGTCAACCTTCGTCCTGAGACTTGCCCGGTACTGCCGCCATTACAGCCACGGACGACCTTGTCTTCGCCAAGTTATAAAGTTAAGGACAAAATCCTGGCGACATGATGGCACTTAAAGAGTGATAGAATTCCCTTTCTAATGTTATCTTCATCAATCAAGCACATGAGAGTTGTATTTGCTGAAACATCTGAAGACTTTTACCTGTTTAATAGATTGGAATTGTGATGTCCTTACGACACTTTCTAAGCTGGAGCGTGGGGTCAGGTCGACCCAACCTCACAAACGCAGCTTTTTATTTCACGGCTGTCAAATTGCGTATATATTTTCTTAACGTAATTTGTTTCACTAGCACAAAACACGGTTAGTTAATCTGTTGTTAAAGATTCTTGAGTTAAAAAAAAAAAAACAAGGAAGATATATATGATATCAAACGACAAAACCTTGGTTCGACTTACCGAGCCGGTTAATGTAGCAGAACTGAAATCGGAAGTCCAGGGTGCGCATGCGCCGTCAAACGTCCGCCTGAATGTACCTGAGTCACCTTGCGGATGAGGAGCCCCCGTGGAGAGGTCCCAGTAACCGCGTTTAGCCTCCAGACTATGGTAGTCTTGGTTTCAGCTACGAAAAACACACAGAATGTTTGTCACAGTCCCTTGTGGAAAGATTGACAGATTGCTGTCCCAGCATATCCAGCATACACACGCATTAAAGCGTACGGTAGCCATCCGAAGTGCTAACACAAACAGTCCGACATTAGAAATACAGTTCATCATTGATGGTAGCAGAAGTCAACAACAGATCAGCAGTTGCTTACGCGATCAATTTTAATCACATACAGGCACCACCAACATTGCGACAACCGGAATCGCGCCATGTTCTGAATCTACAATTCACCACATTGTGATTAGATCACCACTATATTGCGACCCCGGCAAAAGCCTGGGTGGCGCTTCGAAATAACGAAAAATTGGATAGGGACGACTTTAGTTATAAGTGAGTCGAGGATCCTTGGAATTTGTTAACTCTTCATGTTTTGAGGTGTTGTTTCATGAGCTAGCACAGTCTTTGTCAACAGTTTCTTCCGTGTCTTATAGTGTAACCTAGAGACTTCGTGGAACCCAGGTTAATAATTTAAACCGGCCACGATGCTGATTTAAACTGCTGATCTTCGGCAGCTTTGCAGTATGTTCCCTCCAGGATTCAATGCGCAAAATTACCTATTTAACGGCATTGTGAAGCACGTCTATGCCAGCTTAGAGTACGAGATAAAAGACATAACCAACTCCTCATGGGAACAGTCAGTATAGGGACCCTGAAGTAGCTGCTGCATCGAAGGACTGAGCACACATGGGAACGCCTAACGTACAGTGACGTTGACTGCAATAACACAACGTAAAATAACTCTTCAAGGGGGCATAATCGAAAATATACAAATCCGGGTAAACCCCGTCCAACCGTAAAAGTTATAGTGAGGCCACCAAAGCCCCAAATATTTCGAAAAAACATGAAGTCCTGGTCAGGCAGAGACTGATATTTGACCTAACTTTTGGGTCATCAGTCAAATGTCTAGTCAAAGTTCACTAAAGAAGTAAGCAATCGACACCCAATAGATGATGTAGTCAATAGTTTGCTCTAAAAGTCTAAGGCAAATTTTTAAAACTCGATCAATGTTTACACCCATGACGATCATGACGACGGGTTCATGTGCTAACCATGTACCACCCAAACACACAAGAATTGATAACGAGTCGATGAATGAGATAACTATTCATGACTGATGTAACTATCAGGAATGATGTAACTATCAGGAATGATGTAACTATTCATGACTGATGTAACTCTCAGGAATGATGTAACTATTCATGACTGATGTAACTATCCATGAATGATGTAACTATTCAGGACGAAATTACTTCGAAGAAAATGAGTGGAAACGATCGACTTTCGGCTGTATTTAAGTGTGTGAATGTGTGTGTGTATGTGAAAGAGAGTTTTATGCATGTGTGCGTCTGTGAAATTGGCTTTACTATTTGTGCCCGGATACAGGCTAGAAAACAGGTTTATCCGCATTCCCAGCTGTTGTTTGTAACTTTTAGACAATCTCCTATCTGGGGATATCGTTGTATTCGCAGTACTGGTAATTTAAATAACAATATCCTGTCCACCCCATCCGGGTTATACTTAGGATATAGTTTTTTTTTCATTTCAGTTATGGATATTTAGGTCTAAATAATAATATTTTCCAGTCTATCTCTGAGGATATTCTGTGGTGCTTGTGTCAAATGAGTCAGCTCTGTGGCTAAGTCGATGCGAACGCTTCGTAATACCGGGATGCCGGGTTCGATCCCAGCTGCGGGCCATGCGCATTGCGTGGTATCAAGAAAGCCGACGGTCCAGTAAGCAATGACAAACTACTGGATGTAAATTTGCCTAGAAAAACCACACAACAGCCAGGGGCAGTTGGGGTTGGTTCTGCAACGTCCTGTAAAGGATACGCAACTAACCGTGTCAAATGTCATAGCCTCAAACCGTCTCAAACTCAGCGGTAACTACATGCACGAAGGATTACTTGGCATCGACCTCTGCTTCAGTCTCTGGGAGCTAATCAATACCTGCAAATCCCCGTGTGGGTTCCGGGATCACATTGTGGGGAAAAGAAAAATAGACTCACTGCCTCCCCAACAAGCATGTCGTAAGAGTTTACTAAGGGGGCGGGGGAGAAGAGGAGATCCATCGAAGTCGGAGTGCATCTGTCTGAGAAGCGAAGAACCAGCAATCTGCAAACAAATAAGTCAGCTCTGTAAAACGGATATGCATGCAACACTCCGGTTCTGAAACAAGATTGAAGTCCAGATGTGGAAGAACAACTAGAACTTTCCGCCAGAGTTTACAGCCGGTAAACGCGAAGAAGAACTGCAAATTCTTAAGGGAAATTCAAAACCAAGACGTGCTTGTCTACGATTGAATTAATGGCTACTGCAAGTACATCTTTGTCTTGAGAGACTAGAAAATTGGGTAATATCAGAACATATTTCGGCGATGGACGGTGAGTGTCATAAAGTATTAGACTTCAGAAGGCTTCAGAATAAAGAGTTGTCGGATAAATACAGATGCTAACAGGTATAGAAACACACAGACAATAATAATAGTTAAAAAAAAAAAAAGAATAAAAGAAAGACGAACGGTAGTGGGTAAGAATAATAATTTTCAAAACACACCAACACTGACGAAAACTACACAAAAAGAATAATAACTTGACAACTTTTAATGTAATTATACTAGTTACCTCCCCTAGACTATTAAAGTTCAACCCGCATCTCTTTATCATCTAATGTGGCTTCTTCTTCTTCTTCTTCTTCTTCTTCTTCTTCTTCTTCTTCTTCTTCTTCTTCTTCTTCTTCTTCTTCTTCTTCTTCTTCTTCTTCCTCTTCTTCTTCTTCTTCTTCTAGTCCATGCTGTATGCCGATGGTTGCCACAGCCTTCTGTCTTGTGTGCTGTCAACCACGTCTAATATTGTGTCTGTGTTATACATTTTTGTTTACTTATGGAGTCTAATCGTCTTACGTCCTTTTTAGGACGTAATTTTTTGTTATTTGAAGCCCCACTCTGGCTTTTGCCAGGGGCCGCAATATCGGCAGGCCATCAATGTGGCCAATTGTCTGAACGCGATCCTCATCTACATGGTGGCACTTTGTGTCATCGGGTGTTTGTCGCTTGTGTGATGTCCTGGTGGGGTAGAAAGTCAGTCAGTCAGCCCTGTAGGCTCCTTCCTCATACTCTTGTCAAAGCAGACCTATACCTCGTGTGTGACCACTACCTGAACCTGTGGTTTTACTACGTCCGGCTGTATAAATTTGGAGCTGGCCGTGGGTTTTACCACCTGGGGGAGGCAGGGGCTTCTGATGGGAAAAGTTGAAAATCACTGGCTTAGATGTTTCCCATCTTACCGCAGTTAAAGAGAGCGCCGATAGAGCAGTCGTCTGTCGCTTTTCTCGCCACTTGAAGGTCGTGGGCTCGAGTCGGCACCTAGATG